ACAGTTGCAGCAGGCATCCACCTTGTTTCTATGCATCCATTAACACAAGGGGCATTTCCAGCGTTATTTCTTGTACACTAAAGACGCAGCAGACATCCTCCATCAACACGGGCATTCAAGGTGCACGTGTATGCATCATTCAGTACAAGGGCATTCTGCACATGAATGCATCAATCAATACAAAGGCATTCTGCACATGTATGCATCCATCAATACAAGGGCATTCTGCACATGTATGCATCAATCAATACAGGGGCATTCTGCACGTGAATGCATCCATCAATACAAGGGCATTCTGCACATGTATGCATCAATCAATACAAGGGCATTCTGCACATGTATGCATCCATCAATACAAGGGCATTCTGCACGTGAATGCATCCATCAATACAAGGGCATTCTGCACGTGAATGCATCCATCAATACAAGGGCATTCTGCTCATGTATGCATCAATCAATACAAGGGCATTCTGCACATGTATGCATCAATCAATACAAAGGCATTCTGCACATGTATGCATCCATCAATACAAGGGCATTCTGCACGTGAATGCATCCATCAATACAAGGGCATTCTGCACGTGAATGCATCCATCAATACAAGGGCATTCTGCACATGAATGCATCCATCAATACAAGGGCATTCTGCACATGAATGCATCCATCAATACAAGGGCATTCTGCACATGAATGCATCCATCAATACAAGGGCATTCTGCACATGAATGCATCCATCAATACAGGGGCATTCTGCACATGTATGCATCAATCAATACAAGGGCATTCTGCACATGAATGCATCCATCAATACAAAGGCATTCTGCACATGTATGCATCAATCAATACAAGGGCATTCTGCACATGTATGCATCCATCAATACAGGGGCATTCTGCACATGTATGCATCAATCAATACAAGGGCATTCTGCACATGAATGCATCCATCAATACAAAGGCATTCTGCACATGTATGCATCAATCAATACAAGGGCATTCTGCACATGTATGCATCCATCAATACAGGGGCATTCTGCACATGAATGCATCCATCAATACAAGGGCATTCTGCACATGTATGCATCCATCAATACAGGGGCATTCTGCACATGAATGCATCCATCAATACAAGGGCATTCTGCACATGAATGCATCCATCAATACAAGGGCATTCTGCACATGAATGCATCCATCAATACAAGGGCATTCTGCACATGAATGCATCCATCAATACAGGGGCATTCTGCACATGAATGCATCCATCAATACAAGGGCATTCTGCACATGAATGCATCCATCAATACAAGGGCATTCTGCACATGAATGCATCCATCAATACAAGGGCATTCTGCACATGAATGCATCCATCAATACAAGGGCATTCTGCACATGTATGCATCCATCAATACAGGGGCATTCTGCACATGAATGCATCCATCAATACAAGGGCATTCTGCACATGAATGCATCCATCAATACAAGGGCATTCTGCACATGAATGCATCCATCAATACAAGGGCATTCTGCACATGAATGCATCCATCAATACAGGGGCATTCTGCACATGAATGCATCCATCAATACAAGGGCATTCTGCACATGAATGCATCCATCAATACAAGGGCATTCTGCACATGAATGCATCCATCAATACAAGGGCATTCTGCACATGAATGCATCCATCAATACAGGGGCATTCTGCACATGAATGCATCCATCAATACAAGGGCATTCTGCACGTGAATGCATCCATCAATACAAGGGCATTCTGCACATGAATGCATCCATCAATACAAGGGCATTCTGCACATGAATGCATCCATCAATACAGGGGCATTCTGCACATGTATGCATCAATCAATACAAGGGCATTCTGCACATGTATGCATCAATCAATACAAGGGCATTCAAGGTGCGCATGTATGCATCCATCAATACAAGGGTATTCTGCACATGTATGCATCAATCAATACAAGGGCATTCAAGGTGTACTACATGTATGCATCCATCAATACAGGGGTCTTTCAAGTCTTCACAGGCTTGCTATTGTAGGCAGGTCAAGGACATTATTCTTTGAATATTCGAAGGACATGACCGACTGATGTTTTGTTGGGTTTTAAACAGTTATATATGACTATTGACTGGTTAGATTGCTGAAGATAAGTGGAAAAGTGAAAATGGTTAATAATTGAAAAATGGTAAATATGCATTTTAAAGAGCAAATTCATTTGTAAGAAGATTGACATTTATATTTGGATATCAATAATGCACCATGTATTATACTCTATTGAAATTAGTTAATGTGTTGTCTTTAGGGCAGTTCTATTTTCCATCTTGGCCTTGGGAGTGGTTTCCTCAGTGATAATTGAGTTGGAAGACGGTGGTTGTTACAATTTGTTGATCTTCAATAAACGAATGTAGATGTGTGTATATCCTTCATTGAAAGCCTTGTTAGCTTTTCATACATAAAGTTTAGTTGATCCTGTATGCTTCAGCTTTGTTGGAAATCAAGGGTATATGGTATATAGTGGACAGAGTGTCTGTTTGGAAAGCAGAAGCTTGGGGGTTCAATCCCCAGCCTCATCGTACCAAAAGATGGTACTTGATGTTTCCCTGCCTGGTGCTCAGCATTACGGGAGCAAAACAAGGACTGGTATCTCAGTGGGCTAACACTATAAAACTGGCAATTTTGCTTGAAAGAATGCTTGAGGCCATTGGTGATGAACTTTGACACAAGTAATCCTCAATGGGCAAGAAGACAATATATCTTTCATTAAAATATTTTGTTTCTTTTTTCAGAAATGTATTTGAGGGCAGCTATGCCTACACTTTGTGTTTGTTACATGTTTCACTATAAGGTGGCCATACTATTCAAGCGACAACACTAGTTCATTTGGTTTCTTCCAATTTATTTTTCAAAATTGAAACGGCATTTTTTATTTTTTTTTATTTTTATGTTGCTGAAAATTGACCATCTTGAAGGGTATTTCTAGCGTCCTGATAGCCATGATTGTCAGGTGTTGGTCAGCATGACAAGAAATGGAGGGATTTTTTAAATAAATTGTCAAATGTCCTTGTTATGAAATCTTAAATCAAACCCATTTTTATTTAGGATAACAAAGAATTTCTATTCTTTGGATTTATTTTCATCTTATCTTGCAGAAATTCCCAAAGGTTAAAACAAAATATGGATCAGCCTTAAAAAAAAATCAAGATCATTTATTGCTCTGTCAGAACTTCAAACTGTTTTAGTTTGTTTTTTTCTTTCACTGCATCTGGTTTCAAGGACATTTTTATTTTAAAGATGTCTTTTACAAATCTAAAAAATATGAGACTGGAACAAAGATAAATTGATTATCGATGGAAGTGTTCTAAATAATGGTGGAAAAATGTCAGCATGGGCCTCTGCAAGAAAACAGCGGATGTAATTGCAATTCTTTCTCATTTTGATGGATATGGGTTAAAAAGATTTCTGACACCACTTGTTCAGAATGTCTAGAAATACCACAAATGAGAAAAGAATTATTTTCTTAGTCAAAAGATGGCTGTACCTATACAATCTCTGTGTAAATCTGAAGCCATGGTGTTTGTGTCATGGCAAGGGGGGAATATTCCCTAATCCAGCTTGTGCGTGGAGGGCTGCATGGGTCTACATTACAAATGTGTTTTTTTATATAAATGTAACATTTGACCAAAATGACCTTTTAGAACATGTTTAAGACATGGTAAGAAGAAAAAGTGTTTTCTGCAAAAGCCAAACCTTCCATGTGCCCAAACATCTTCATACCAAAACTTCTCTATGTCAAAACTTTGAAGATGCAACTAATATACACCAGCCATCAAATCAAATCTCCAAGTAGACCATCCACACACCATTATCTCCAAGTAGACCATCCACACACCATTATCTCCAAATAGACCATCCACACACCATTATCTACAAGTAGACCATCCACACACCATTATCTCCAAGTAAACCATCCACAGACCATTATCTCCAAATAGACCATCCACACACCATTATCTTCAAAGAGACCATCCACACACCATTATCTCCAAATAGACCATCCACAGACCATTATCTCCAAATAGACCATCCACACACCATTATCTCCAAGTAGACCATCCACACACCATTATCTCCAAATAGACCATCCACACACCATTAGCTCCAAATAGACCATCCACACACCATTATCTCCAAGTAGACCATCCACACACCATTATCTCCAAATAGACCATCCACACACCATTATCTCCAAGAGACCATCCACACACCATTATCTCCAAGTAGACCATCCACAGACCATTATCTCCAAGTAGACCATCCACAGACCATCATCTCCAAATAGACCATCCACACACCATCATCTCCAAATAGACCATCCACACACCATTATCTCCAAGTAGACCATCCACACACCATTATCTCCAAGTAGACCATCCACAGACCATTATCTCCAAGTAGACCATCCACACACCATTATCTCCAAGTAGACCATCCACACACCATTATCTCCAAGTAGACCATCCACAGACCATCATCTCCAAATAGACCATCCACACACCATTATCTCCAAGTAGACCATCCACAGACCATTATCTCCAAGTAGACCATCCACAGACCATTATCTCCAAATAGACCATCCGCACACAATCATCTCCAAATAGACCATCCACACACCATTATCTCCAAATAGACCATCCACAGACCATTATCTCCAAATAGACCATCCACACACCATTGTCGCCACAAACCGTCGACAAGCCATCGATGGACCATTACCAACCCACAGACCATCAACAGACCATCAACAGACCATCAACAGCCCATTATCATCCAATGTTACATCATCCATCCATCTGTCCACAAACAGCTTTCATACAGCAGCCATCTCTGTTTTCAGGCCCGTGCAAAGATTTTCACTGAGAGGGGTCCGTAGTGTATCATCGAGACAAACATACATACACATACCTAATAAACCAGCAATCTCTGTTTTCAGACCCGTGCGAAGGCTTTCGTTGTGAGGAGCCCGAGGTGTGCCATCTCGACAAACAGCGCAAGCCCATCTGTCGCTGCAATTTTCAATGCGCTGACGTCTTTGAGCCAGTTTGTGCCACAAACGGACGAACATACAGCAATAAATGCTTACTGCGCAGGGAAGCATGCAAAGCTCGTAAAGACATTGATGTGTTATATTCAGGCGAATGCACTCCAGGTTGGTAATCCGTAGTTATGAAACGCACTCCCATGCACATTTAATTTATGGTTTTGTTCATGTTGTGTTCATGGGTTTTTTTATTGCCAGAGCATTCCAAGCCAGCACACAGCCAGATAATTGAAGATATATACATTGAGTGTGATACAGACACAACTGTCTGCATGTTTCTTAATGTACTTGTTACTATTTTGAAATTTTTAATCATAATAAAATGTTTTTCATAAGCTATCGAAATATTCCTAAGAAATGCCAAGAAACAGGTTTGACACTTGATGTCTTTTTTGCATCACAAGATATTTGGCTCAAATAAATGTCTTTGTATCATTTAACATATCTTTAAATATCACACACACAGATATCGCTTTCTTGTTTGGAATTAATTGAGAATTATTTGGATTAACAGTTCTGATCTGAATTTACCAGTAGTCAAATTCGGGTGTGATATTGGAGAGATTTGGCATTTTTGCAGCAAGTTATTGGAGCTGGTCTTTCATTTTAGATGGTTGTTTTTTGTCTATAATAGTTTTGATGTTTTTTTAATCATTTTATTAATGTACATAATGTAACTTTATTATTACATGTTATTTGTGTACAAAATTTTTGTATTTTTTGTAATCTTATCAAAATTCTTGGAAATTGTGCGGAAGAAATGTGTTTCTGAAGTCATTTGCTTCGTATAACAGCTACCAAACTTTGCAGTTTTTATATTTTATTTCATTTTGATTGAAGCACTTAAATTTTCTTTTGTAACAGTGACAATGTTCAATCTCATTAAAATCTGGTGTTTTACTCTGATATTACATCTCTCTGCATGAAGATCTGAGGACATTTTGAAAGGAGGTCACATAAGGTGACCTTTCTCATCAACCAATCAGTGTCAAGGCTTCTTAATTCTCGATTTGAGTGAGCAAAACATTCAAACCAGCATATCTCATCTCTGTATCGGAAAAAAAGGAATATATTCAGAGTGCAAAAAAATAAACCTACGCTATTTATGTTGTTGATATTTTATAAACCATGTCATTTCTGAGAGTCATGGCGTTTACACCAAAAACTGTGTACTAAGGAGGGGACCTGTGAAGATTCCGGGGTAGAATAGGTCTTCAGCAACCCATGCTTGCCGTAAATGGTGACTATGCTTGTCGTAAGAGGCGACTAACGGGATCGGGTGGTCAGGCTCGCTGACTTGGTTGATGCATGTCATCGATCCCAATTGCGTGGATCGATGCTTATGATATTAATCACTGGATTGTCTGGTCCAGACTCGATTATTTACAGACCGCCGTCATATAGCTGGAATATTGCTGAGTGTGGCATTAAACAACAAACAAACAAACAACTAAGGAGGGTTTATTTGAGTACTTTGGCAGTTTTCTTTTGCTGAAATCAAAATTCCCAAATTGAGGTGGCACAGTGAGTGTAGTTCTACGCTGCTTTTGGCAATATTTCAGCAATATCACAGCAGTAATGGGATTCACTTATTTGACCCATGTGGAAATCAAACCCGGGTATTCGGCGTAACAAGCGAGCTCTTTAACCACTAGGCCCACCGCCCCTCTAAATGTTCATTAAGTTGATACTGTAAGAAATGAAAGTGAATCATTCAGAAAATTGACACCTGACACAAACTTCTTTGGAGTCGTCCTCAAATCTTTACTCAGAGAGGTGACATATCAGATCAAAAGATCTGATTTTCATGAGATTGGAAGAATATTTAACCTTAATGATCACAAGTCTTTCATCAGTCAGTATTGAATATATATTTAATAGAATAAGGATACCACAACAAGAAACTTTAGAGCACCCTGGAATATGTACAATCAAATTTCTACAATTGTTATACTGACTATGCAACATGCACAATTAATTTATGATCCAAAAAATTCAGAAAAATTTAAAAAAATATTTTTTGTGTTGTTTGCAGCATTATAAATTATCACACTTTGGCTTAATTGAAGAAAAAGGTCTGCATATGGGACAGTGTTGTCCTTGAATGTATGGATACATCAGTGATAGGACTAAGCCTTGTGCCCTCATTTCATAATTCTGATGGGGATGGCTGCAAAATTGCTAAGGCGGGTTAATTGCAAAATATGTCTGTGTTCATATTGTCCTGAAACAAAATTGATTTTCATTCAGCTATCAGTAATATTATTTCATATAAGCCAGTTTCAAGAAAGCAAAAGTGAAAATATTTAGGTACCATCCGAAGGTTTGTTTTGATATGTATAATTGCTCAAACATGTTCAAATTCTCAAACTCCTATTAGTTCAGATACAGTAAACTACAGTTATAACAAACCAAAAGGGACCACTAATTTTAGTTCGTAAAAACCGTAGTTTGTATAAGCATATATACAGCATTTATGCAAGAAATGGCCAGGACTAAAAAATAAGTTTGTTATATCGGTCAGTTTATTATAAGCGTGTTTGTTATAAACGTAGTTTAATGAAAATGCTATGACTTGGACAGATGGCTTTCAGATTTGGGGAGGGGCTGAGAGACTTATGGCCTAAAAAAGTTGTAGGTAGAAAAATATAAAATATTTAAACTTCAAATATATTTTATTGGAGCCCTCAAAATGATGAAGGTATGAGGAAAATGGGGATGGGGGAATATGGTAAGAAACAACACCAAATGTCTTGGCTGGATTGGCTGTTTATTGCAATAATAGGTCCTTGAATCCACTGTGTTTGCTTCTCTCCATCTTTGAGAGAGCAGAGTGTACCCCCCGTGAACATTCCGGGGTAGAATAGGTCTTAGGTAACCCATGCTTGCCGTAAAAGGCGACTATGCTTGTCGTAAAAGGCGTCTAACGGGATCGGGTGGTCAGGCTCGCTGACTTGGTTGATGCATGGCATTGATCCCAATTGCGTGGATCGATGCTCATGATATCAATCACTGGATTGTCTGGTCCAGACTCGATTATTTTACAGACCGCCATCATATAGCTGGATTATTCCTGAGTGCGGCGTTAAACAACAAACAAACCAATGAGAGCAGAGTGGACAGGAGGCTGGATGTCCTTCTACTTCTGCCCATGTATACCAACAGTAAATTAGTTGGGTTTCAATGTCTAACTGCGAGACTGTCCCTCCACCCTGGTCACACAGTGTGGCTTTAATCAAAGAAGGAAGTGAAACAGAGCTCACCATGTTGAACTTAACACCTTAAATACCTGATATTACAACATATCACAAAAAGTTTAAAACAATATATTGAAATATGTAGAATATATGAATATTTTAAAGCAATTAACATATAAACAAACCTTGGTCAGCTGATGAAATGATTTATATTCATTTATTCATATTTAATAGCATCTGTGATAGCACAATATTTGAAATTATTACCTGAAACTATGAAACATGAAACTCAGTTGGCTGTGTAATGATATCATCAATGTTTAGGAAAACAATAAAACATTTGATGCACAGGGCAGCATGAACAAGATGTTTTGTATCAGGTCCTAAACAATTTAAATCTGTTCTAGAACACCCTTTTGTGATAGTTTAGAAATGCTTCTTAATTTGTATACTTTTTTAACTGCACTGGTTTAGTTTTGGTCAAGATGAACATTTTGAAGATCACAAGCATATAACATTTCTCTTCATACTGTCTGGAAACTTCAATGTCCGATATTTATTGTTACTTTTCATTACAACAATTTTGAGGAAATGAATACTCACTCACACTTCTTACAGTTCAGTTTTACCAAATCAAGGGCGGATCCAGCATTTCTAAAAGGGAGGGGTTCAAAATATCAAAATCTTCTCTCAGATAATTTTACTGCCTTCAACATACATTTGGTTTTCAAAAGGGTGGATCCGGACCCCTGGACCCCACCTCTGGATCCGCCTGTGCACATCTTCCCGAGGCAAGAGAGTTAACTGACTTTAAAAGTCCAGTTTCCACCCTTGCCGAACTAGGCTGGAATTCCAGGGCTCGATCGTAGCGCCACCAGTGGTTATTATGAGTTATGTCCCTTCTGAGTATCTCCTATGGACCAATCCGATTCCATCACTTGCATTTGTTTCAAACAAAATGGCGGCATCCAGTAAAGACGATGTGATCGATAATGTCTTACATCGCAAAATGCATCAAATCACGTGAGCACCTTGATTAAAAACATGAAAAGATTTGGAAAATATCTGCTGACGAGTTGGCGGTGCACATGCTTTGCAAATCCTGCAATCGATGGAAATCTGCACGACAGTTTACGAACCAGATTTTGATTTCGGTGCACGACTCGTTAGTCCAGCCAAAATGTAACTCCATAATACCAGCCTAGTTCGGCAAGGGTGGAAACTCGAATTTTATAGTCAGTTAACTCTCTTGCCTCGGGAAGATGCCTTTGCATAACTCATATGAAAACAGCTTCATGGGGTCCAGTATGATTTTGAGTAAGCAGTTGTGTCGGGGGCAGTTAACAAATGCCTCAGTTTAATTTTATTTGGAGAACGCAGGATAATGCAACTGAGATCATACAATAATATCTTGATCATTAATTTGATGGCAAATACAGGTTGCAGGTTTGTAGGAAAATGTCTGGATTCCAGTTTGTTTTTATTACAATTCATATGTCACTAGATGCTTGAATACATTGTCACAAGGAAAGTCAAACTGAAGTGACAAATCATGTTATAAAGTATCTTTTCGCAGCAAGAGCATCAACTAGCCTTTTTATCAAAGTTTTGTTTCCACCCTTGCCACATCAAACCCACTGTGCTCAATATGTGCGATAGTCCAATCAGAGAATGTTTTCAAAATCAACATCCACGACTGGTGCTCCTTCGTATGAAAGTTGTTCCCAAAATCAACATCCAAGACTGGTGCTCCTTAATTCGTATGAAAGTGATTTACTGCTCAAATATGTCTTTTACATCTTTTAAACCCTCAACGATTGCCTATGTTTGTATGTCAGGAATGAATGTTTTCCTTGTCTGATCGACTTCGTTGTCGCCATCTTTTTGAAGCTATACAGACAAGAACAGCTATCTGATTGGATATCGCATTTTCATAACAAGGAGCCAAGAAAAGTGGCCTTGGTGTGGCAAGGGTAGAAACTCAACCTTGAGATAGGCTAGTGGACACACTTGCCTCAGGAAGATGGTTATAAAGGTCCAAGAACCAAATATCAAGAGCAACTTAGCAATAGACAATGAAGCTGGAATCCATGCAATGTCTTAATTTATATGCCACTCAAACAATATCATAAGGACAAAAGAAACTTTGACATGATTTGCACTTTTGTACAAGAAAATGTCAGACAGATATTTAAGTTTGAGTTCTGACTGTGTTGTGTATGGTATATAAGCTGTTATTACATGACTGTACATATGTTATATGTATGTCACCAGGAATAAACGTTATCAGTCCTGGGGCTGTACAGGATGAGTATAAGACAGACGGTAATTTTGACACGCCCACTTTCTATTTCTAGATTACCCATATTTTTAATCACACACTGTTCACCTGATGATGTTCCTTGAAGTTGAGAAAGCGTTGCTCTGGCATCAACTATTTTTTATAAATTCATAATTTACGTATTTTCTACTTTAGTTGTTGTGATTGTGCTTTTTGCCCTTTTCATTCTATGACATCTAAAATTATGCAGGGAGCAGATTTTCATTGTCTATATGAATATTTTGAAAATTGTAGTATTAACGATAAATATTTTGATAATTGAATGATGTACTTCTTTAGGCATTGTTGATGTCATTGCAGATGAATTTATATTTCTCACAAGTGAAACTTATGACACAACATTAACACTTAGCACAAGCATTGCTATTGTTGCAGTCTAACATTTCAGCTTTTTTAAGCCATGGTTTCCTAAATCAATTTCAAATTTCAGAATCTACAGTTTCATTCTTTTTCCAGGCTCTAATACAGCAGTTTTTTTCTTCATAGTTTGTAACAGCCAATCAGCTTGCAGTGTAGCTGTCATTGGTCAGAACCATAACAATAGGAACCAATCAGCTTTCAGTGCAGTTGTGATTGGTTGAAACTAAGCATAACAACAAATCAACTCAAACATTTTATTAGTCAAAGCATTGTAATAGCCAATCAGCTTGCTGCAAGATATGATTAGTTAAAATATTAGCCAATCATACTGCAATATAGTTTCAAAAGTTGAAAGAGAGGGAAATTTGAAACCAAGGCTGCTATCACTGTCGTGATTCCCTTTCCCAATGGGTGTTAGACCGTATGATGTTGTGTGGTGAATATTGTCTGGTTGTATCAATATTGTGTCTTCCTCTAACTTTCTCTATTTGATGTTGAGTGACAGATGCTGTTTTCTATGATTGCATTGGGTTCTCAAAGCCAAGGCCCAGGTGTGACAGAGCTTGTTATAAAAACTAATGACTTATATAAATATAACCTGGAACAATACAAAACTTTTGCTTGTTACAAAACAACACACAAATATATCCTAGCTATTGTGTTTTGTCAATAATATTATAATCACCCTCCAAGACATAACAAGTTCATTACTTCTTGCAAAATTCCCTGTAGGGGTTTCGGGGAAGTATATTGTCCCCAGTATCCTCAGACTGAAAATGGAATTTGTGTTGCAAAGATGTCCACTAAATATTGAATAATAGCCTAAGAGATTCAAGCTTCTGTGTGCTACTGTATGCAAAAGGCAAAGCTCACCTCCACACAGGCAATCTCTGGTTATCTGCCCTTGGCACTGGTTGGGTAAAAAATGTGGAATTCTAAGTTTAAACTGAAAAAAGATCATCATTCAAAGTTTGGTAATGTCAAAGTTGATTTTATTTTTATCGAGTTTGTGTGCAGTAAGATCATTCAAGTAATTAATTGAATTAGAAAAAGTCCAAATATGGGTGTTATAACATAGTGTCTGTATGCTGCCTGACATCCTGTTGATGAAACCAAGCATACACATCCAGGAGTTGATAAAAACTGTCTGAATTGGAAATCACTACGTATGAAGCCAGGGATGGAAGATTTATGGACCATTTCAAGAATTTTCAATTTTGTTTGAAAAATGTTTTCTTAAGTAAATTAGAGTCATTTGTCTTAGCAGTTGTAGTCATCGTACGGAAAAGACAATTCTCAATTCTATTAACTGAATGAAACAAACTGCCGAAACTGCAAGGAAATTAATGATTTTGCTGACTTAAAAGAATGATGTCTTTTTTTCCATTGAGACAGGTCCCAGTTTCAATACCAGTAGCTTCAGAATTTAGCAGAACACTTTAAGTGATTAGAAGTTCTAGTGTCAGTGATAAAAATTTGACATATCGATACATCTTCAGCTTAAATTTCTTCTGAAAACTATTACATTTTAACTGTGAAATATTCATTTAATGCACTGGGTAGCAAAAAAGATTTATATTGATATTTTCTAAATTTTAAGCAGGTATATTATGCACTTGAAATTAAACTATTTTTTTACAATTGTGACAGATGATAATATAGATACATGTTTTATTCATAGTTTATTTCATTGGAATTCTTTTTTGGAATAATTTGGTCATACAATCACATACATTTAAGATTGAAAAGGATTCATTTATATTTAGGAGATTTTGGAATATTTTAACTTTGAAAGTATAGTTTTAGGTTATAAGGGCTCATCAATTGTAACACAACTATAATTCATATCACCCATATAAAATCCATCTCGAAAGAAAAATAGATTTATTGGAACCGAAGTAAGATGAATTGAGGCTTCAAGAGAAATTCTGTGAACTGTGTACTTCAATTCTGCAGTCTTTTTCACATCCGTACCATTGTTCACATGATCAATAATGAAATAAAGCAGCAGAAAATTATTAATTTGCACTTAACATTTTTTGTTTAATTACATGAATGATAAATCAAATATTTTAATAGTTTATCTTAAATACACCTTACATCACTAAACAGTTGTCAGTGAATATAGGTTTCAAGGTTTCAGTTTTCGGTGCAGAGTTGTCTCCTTAACTGTGCCAGGATCTGCTTGTCATGAGTTTGAATCCCATACTGATTTGGTAAGGATCCTCGTTTTGTCATCATGATTCCCATGCTTGTGGGATGCACTTATAAGTACAACCTATAAAATAAAAGATTCAGATGACTGAAATTCTATGAATTGAAGGTGAGGTGAAATGGGAGGTTAAGGTCGCTTACATTCGAGTTTATAGCATTAATATAGTGACAGGCATGCATGACTGTGTGTGTGTGTGTGTGTGCTGCTACTTGTACTTGTCTGAGATAATGTCGGTTTAATTGTGCCAGCCCACTGAGATACCTTGCCGTATGAATACCCAACTCAGATACAATATACTGACTCCGAGCAATAAGTGTGCACATGTGCCAAATCCCAGTCTTTTCGGACAATAAAATATATTTAAAGCAAACAAGAAACAGTATACTGCCTCTGAAGCCCCTTAATGCCGAGTGCCAGGGCATGGGATCGGACCGCCAACCTTACATTCTCCATGGCGATGTACAATCTACTACAAAATACTGTTTAAAGTATTTGGATTGAGGGTTAAGGTTCTTTATGTTTTTAGTCTCCATAGCAACTTTGATTAGAATATGGTTCAAATTCTATCATTTAGAAAAGCTTTGTGTTGTTTGTCAGTGTGTTTGATATTGGTGTTTACTAATTGTTTATTTTGATGTTTCTTTTCGATGTTTATTCTTGTTGCACATTTGTGAAATACCATTTTCATTGAAAATGACATCAGTATGTATAGAATTTATTTGTTTATTTATTTGTAACATCATTTACAGTAAGTGTCAATATTCATTGATAAAAAGCAGTTCATTAGAAACAAGAAGTAATAATTGTCAAACGATGTAATGAAATACCTCTCGACATTTCCTGCAGTAAAAACTGTCATTTTCATATAACACCATTCTTTCATGAAGTTGATAAAGATATTATTCTTCATAATCACTTTGATACATTACTGTTTCTAACATTTTTGCCAGTTTTACTTCATGAAGAAATTATATATATTTCTTTGTCATTCAAAATGGTTACCCATTTAGAGGTTTATTGTGAAAAAACATTCCACAGTTCCTCATGTGCCAGGATGCTAATGCATGCTCCAGTCCACACTCTGAGAATGAACAATTCCTTAATATATTTGTTCTGAAGAACGTTGCATCTATACTAGAAAAACTCTGTTGTCACTTCCATTATAAACTTTGTTATGCTGTAAGTGTAGCCTACAAAGTCTGCATCAACAATCAAATTGTTTAAAAAACAGATCCTTTACTTTTGTGCAAAATCTTTCAAATTCAAAGAATATGAAGTGAAAATCTTTATTGTAACTCATTTATCACATTTTATAATTAAATTAAACATACATTTTGGTATATATTCACCTTTAAATGTCCTCATTTTTTAAGCATAATTTGAAATCAGTGGTTATTCTTCAAATTCAGATAATTATGTTATTATTTGTAACTCTGTAAAAATAGATTTGACTCTGGTGCAGATTTTGTTAAGATGTGAAATAATATGCCTAGAAGCAGAATTGTACATTTGTATGTCTGTTGATTTCTGAAGGTTAGTGAGATGTTCTTTTGGATTGTTGGCTTAAAGTATATGCTGCATGTAAGATAGAGCCTGTATAACCGTATAACATCATGCATGGTCTATACCCATGAGAAGCCAAAACTTATAAACACACACTCAAGAATATTCATCAAAATCCGGATTTTGCAGCAAAGAAATTTTCTTGCAAAAACATGGAAAATTTAGTCGATTGAACCACGATGTTTATTTCAAATATTAAAAGTCATGTCTCAATTTTTTTTCGACCAATCCCATTACAGTAACTAACCCATGTGACAAGATTCGCTGCGGAGATGAAGAAGAATGCAGTGTTGATCGGCAAGGACGTGCCTCCTGTGTGTGTCCTCCACCATGCCAACCAGTTGTCCGGCAAGTCTGCGGCAATGACAGCACGACATATGACAGCGAGTGCGAACTACGGCGACAATCGTGTACACAGAAAGTGTATGTCGTGGTAGTTCACACAGGCCCCTGTGGTAAGAATTAAAGGTTGAGGAAGCATTTGCCATACATGAAGTGGGCCAGAAATGTATTTTAAATATTTGCATTGTAACCCTCTTGATAAAGAGGACCCATGAAGATTCCGGGGTAGAATAGGTCTTCATCAACCCATGCTTGCCGTAAAAGGTGACTATGCTTGTCGTAAAAGGCGACTAACGGGATCAGGTGGTCAGGCTCGCTGACTTGATTGATGCATGTCATCGATTCCAATTGCGTGGATCGATGCTCATGATATTAATCACTGGATTGTCTGGTCCGGACTCTATTATTTACAGACCGCCGTCATATAGCTGGAATATTGCTGAGTGCGGCGTTAAACCACAAACCAACCAAACCAACCAACTTGATAAAGAGATTGGTAAATTCTTGTCAAATCAAAGGTTATGTTTTTCAACTCTGAAGACAGGATGATAATAGTAATTTAAGGGACACTTTTAAAAAATATATTTGTCCACAGTTACAACAACAGCCCAGAATAACGGAACAGTTAAAATGGTTTGAAATTTTTTTCTATTCACCTGACTGCTCTGTCTTTGATGGACCAGAAAAAAAGAAGATTACGACTACTATAACCTTAATGAAAAGTAAACGGTGAGGTTTTAACTAATCAATGATGGAATGGACAGTTATAGATATGCGTATAGTTTTGTCTGGCCACGATAAGGTTTGTAGGAGAAAAAGATGAAGAGAGATAAAGCCTTCTCCATCACAAGTAAATAAATGCTCATGTCACTGTAAAGGTAATAAGTATCCTGCACTTTAAACATATTGTTTCATACTAAAACTAACCATCCCAAACAACCCATTCCCCCATAACTGTAAAAAAAAATGACCAATACAAAAATATTAATATTTTGACCTTCCAAAACTAAGAGTTGCTTGAAAGGGCCGAGGATTATGATGAATGACTCATGTGGCCGTCTGTATATGAGTATTGAGTGTCTGTAATTCCTACCACGAGAGTGATTAACAGCTCTCATAATTATTTTTTATTGTTTATTTTGCCTTGGTAATGTTGTTTGAAAAAGAAGAGCTTGTTTTTTCTTTTATATTTTCAACTATTTTAAAAAATACCTGTAATAAATCTTATTTCAATTCAGTATGTTACATTTGAAAATCATTTGAAGAAAATCTCATATGGACATAGTACTAAAAAATGTATGATTTTATAATTGATGTGACAAACTCTAAGTAAAAAATTATAATCCACTATGATGTATCAAAGGGCTTGTACGTTGCCTGTGATAATGTCACTCAAAACTCAATTTACTAAAAAACCTATCTCCTCCGTGAAGATCTGGGTTAAAATTGGTCCTCAGCAACCCATGCATGTTGATTTGGTTGGTTGGTTTGTTGTTTAATGCCATACTCAGCAATATTCCAGCTATATGACGGCGGTCCATGCATGTTGAAAGTGAGTGAGTGAGTTGGGTTTAACGCCGCTTTTAACAGTATTCCAGTTATATCGCGGCGTGTCAGCTTAATGTGGGAGGAAAGCCCAAAGTGATGCAGGTCTCAGACGTTTACCACTTCGGTGAAACCCACGAGCACGGGTATGGTGCTGACAAACCTAGAAACATAATCGGGGTGAACCAGGATTCAAACCCACAATCATAGGTTTCTGGCTACCCAAGGGACGCAACTCTGCACAGCGAATCGCGGCGCCTTAGATGACTGGGCCACCAATGCCCCCGCGTGTTGAAAGGGGTGACTAACGGGATAGTCAGGCTCACTGACTTGGTTGATGTCATTAGTGAGTGAGTGAGTGAGTGAGTTGGGTTTAACGCCGCTTTTAACAGTATTCCAGTCATAGCACGGCGTGTCAGCTTAATGTGGGAGGAAAGCCCGAAGTGATGCAGGTCTCAGACGTTTAACACTTCGGTGAAACCCACGAGCACGGGTATGGTGCTGACAAACCTAGAAACATAAATGGGGCGAACCGGGATTCGAACCCACAATCATAGGTTTCTGGCATGCCCAAGGGACGCAACGCTGCACAGCGAATCGTGACGCCTTAGACGACTGGGCCACCCGTGCCCCCGCATGTTGAAAAAGGTGACTAACGGGATAGTCAGGCTCACTGACTTGGTTGATGTCATTAGTGAGTGAGTGAGTGAGTGAGTTGGGTTTAACGCCGCTTTTAACAGTATTCCAGTCATAGCACGGCGTGTCAGCTTAATGTGGGAGGAAAGCCCGAAGTGATGCAGGTCTCAGATGTTTACCACTTCGGTGAAACCCACGAGCACGGGTATGGTGCTGACAAACCTAGAAACATAATCAGGGCGAACCGGGATTCGAACCCACAATCATAGGTTTCTGGCATGCCCAAGGGACGCAACGCTGCACAGCGAATCGTGGCGCCTTAGACGACTGGGCCACCCGTGCCCCTGCATGTTGAAAGAGGTGACTAACGGGATAGTCAGGCTCACTGACTTGGTTGATGTCATTAAATCTCAATTGCCTGGATCGATGCACATTGGATTGTCTGGTCCAAATCAAATATTTATGGTTCTCCATCATGTGGCTGAAATATATTGCTGGGTGCTGTGTTTAACACACACAAAAAAAATATTCTACTCACATGACTTAGAAATTCTTAAAATTATTTCTCCAAGTTTTTTGTAAACATATCTCTATTTTCTTCCTCAGGTCATGACATCCCCTGCCGATCATTCAGGTGTGACTATGGTGCGATGTGTGTGGTCAGACATGGCCAGCCCTCCTGCCAGTGTCCATCATGCAATGAGGATTTTGACCCGGTAGGTGTTCCATATCTGTCAACAGAATGATGACCCTTTTGGGTGGTCATATATTTCCACATTCAGTCATCAATGGGTTTGATTGAAGAAACATGATCTTGTTAGTATTCCATACTTTTCTTAGTTGAAGAAATAATGGGGCAGCAGGGTGGCTGTGTGGGTAAGGTTATGCTGGAAAACTCTGTTTGGTTCCCTGCACCAAAGATGTTAATTCCATTCCTCAGACCAAAGACAACAATGGTACTAATATCAACCCAATTCCTGAAGCTCCCCCCACAACCACCCACATCATGATAATGCTAAATGGTGTAGAACTCTACCCTCTCACAAACATATCAAAGAATACAAAATGAATGACATGAATTCTGTCTAACTATATCTTGAAGTAATTATGTGTTTGCCTTGTCCATGATCTAGTGAGGTAAATCAATGTATAAAATTTCAAAATTGATTTCACAAAAATGTCATCAATTATTTGTATTATTTTGGTAGCTCTTGTAATGCTGGCATGCCAGTCTGCTATTAAATAATTAAATTTTCAAAAGTGACAGATAATATCAGTATTATCATTTTGAATAAATTTTTTTTTTAAAAACCCACCTCATAAATAGTCACCTTTGGGTAACATGGAAGAAAGAGTGCAATAAACAAACTGGTGAAAACATTAAAAAAAAAACATGGAGCTATCCTCTTGAAAAAGATACAGGTGTTTTGCACCATTAAAAGAAAAACATTTAGATTACAAACTGACCATTTTGTTTGAAAAATACATATCAGCTGCACTCAGAGTGTGAAATGTTTTGTTTTCCAATAAATTCTTATAGATTCCACAAATGGCTTGCAGGGAAACCAAGCTAAAGGATCATCATTCTCTTGTATCTTTGATTATGGTGAAGACCCAGGTTCGGTTACCAACACGGTCACAATGTGTGAAGCCTATATCTGGTGTCCCCTGCTGTGATATTGCTGGAATATTGATAAAAGCATTGTAAAACCAGACTCACTCCCTCATTTGATTGGCCACATAGGTACAAAGTGTGACATTCTTTTCTGGTTTACCATGCTGTGATATTGCTGGTATAGTGCTCGAAGCAGCAGGATGACTATGGTTCAATTTTATCTGACACCAGTGGGATTCTCTCTCATACCATTTTCAGTCCTCGCAATTCACTGAATAATAAAGTGACAGTCGAGGCATTGCACGTACTGAAGTAACATCGTGTTTGTGCCACCATTTTCTGTGTGATGTCCTCATAAACTTGAACAACGTCTTCTTCGTGTCAGTGGCATCACCTCAGATTAGTGTCAGTGTACGCGAGGAGTGTGAACATCAGTCCAGCTGTGTGATATATGAATCATGTATGATGTTTTTTATGTGTCCACTTCATAAAATATGGACCAGAAAATCAATAGAAATCCTTTTTGTGTGGTGTTTTCCCATCTCAGTTCCTGCTTTTTTCGTGTTTATGTCTGAAATCTTGCAACAATTGTTTCGAGTAATGTGTTTCTTGTCATATTTTGTCTGAAATTGCAATTTACTTATTTTGGGGTTTATATGGAGCTCTGAATAATTCACATGTTTTGGACACTTCAATTGTTTTATGCATGAAATTATTCCAAAATATTTTTTCATTACTTTTATGTGCTGGATGTTTGTGTTTGAAATGATGTGGTCTTTTTCAAAACTTTGTAGTCATGAAAGTGATGGAATTATTCTCAAAATATGTGTAAATCATATGACATAAAAACAGACTTGCCTATATTTGCATATTTTTGGTTCAGGGCAGAACTTAACAGAAATAGGTTTTAAAAAATGGTTTAGAAGTTACGACCAGCTCGAGACAGTAATCTTTGTATCTTAACCTGACTGAAAAAGTTGACATCTAACCCTACTCATTAAATTATCAACAAACAAACAATGACATAAACATGTTATTTGACAAGGAAGCCAAATATCCTGCATTTCCTCATGGGTGGCATCAGCGGCTTATCTAAGATTCGCTGTGCAGAGTTGCGTCCCTTGGGCACGCCAGAAACCTATGATCATGGATTCGAATCCTAGAGTTGCCCTCATGATGTTTTCAGGTTTCTCATCCAGTGTCAGTAACTTTGGTGTTCTTTGCTTAGGTCCCTGTGCTGGTCACAAGAGGCGATTAGATTTGGAACAATTGGGGATAAGGTTGACACCATCAACCAAGTCACTCAGCCTTTCAACCCTATCCAACTGGTCTCCTCTTATGACTGGGGGCACGGGTGGCCCAGTGGTCTAAGGCGCCGCGATTCGCTGTGCAGAGTTGCGTCCCTTGGACACGCCAGAAACCTATGATTGCGGGTTCGAATCTCGGTTCACCCCAATTATGTTTCTAGGTTTGTCAGCACCATACCCGTGCTCGTGGGTTTCACCGAAGTGGTAAACGTCTGAGGCCTGCATCGGCTTTCCTCCCACATTAAGCTGACACGCCGCGATATGACTGGAATACTGTTAAAAGCGGCGTTAAACCCAACTCACTCACTCCTCTTATGACCAGCATGGGTTGCTGGGGAATATGGCTAAGATGAATAGAATTATCTAAAACCACTCGCATGTTATCAGAAATGAGTGGTCCACTGTAACTTGACAATGCCCTCTTATTGCTTGATGACGGGCCATTATCACGCCCACTGTTAGGTGACGTCATACTTATGTTCAGTAGTGACGTCATCTGGTTTGTTCTGTGACGTTTCCGTATTTGTAAAAGTGGGTCAGTGACATTCGTTGTGTGTTGATTGCAGTAAATGTTTCACGACTGATATTGTTGTTTATTCTTATTTGATGACAAATTCTATCGATATTAGGTATTATAACGGTTATGCTATTTTTCAGGGCATTATCATTTACAGAAGCCCTTGGTCGTTGCAGCTGCCCTCCTTCGTCGGGCAGTTAATGGATGACCTCAGGCTTCTGCAAATGATAATGCCCTGAAAAATAGAGTTACAGTTACACAAATTGTAACTCAGAATCTCCACAGAAATAGTGTGACCTCAGACAGCCTGCTGTCACCTGACATGTGACACGTGTACCTGTGGTGTTGCAGGTGTGTGGCGAGGATGGAATCACCTACAATAACGAGTGTAAACTCGGGCAGGAGAAGTGTCAACACCGGATCAACATCCGCATCAAGCACAAGGGACCTTGCAGTAAGTTTTGCAGTATCTTCACCATTCTCATGGGAATGTTATTTCAAGAGTAAATTGGAAAATTGGAAAATAAAATGTTCTATCATAGGTTTGAGTAGAAACAGATTGTTCTTGTTCTGGGTTCTAACTGCGGGGGGCACGGGTGGCCCAGTCGTCTAAGGCGCCGCGATTCGCTGTGCAGAGTTGCATCCCTTGGGCACGCCAGAAACCTATGATTGTGGGTTCGAATCCCAGTTCCCCTCAATTATGCTTGTGGGTTTCACCGAAGTGGTAAACGTCTGAGACCTGCATCACTTCAGGCTTTCTTCCCACATTAAGCTGACACGCCGCGATATAACTGGAATACTGTTAAAAAGCAGCGTTAAACCCAACTCACTTACTGACTCTAACTGCGGGTTCTGGATGTAGGTGCTAACAACAGGTTCTTGCTATGGGATTTTGCTGTCGGGTTTTGCTCGAACTGTAGATTCTAACTATATGTTCTGGTTGTAGGTTCTCACTGTAGATTCTAACTTTAGGTTCTGGTTGTAGGTTCTCACTGTAGATTCTAACTATAGGTTCTGGTTGTAGGTTCTCACTGTAGATTCTAACTATAGGTTCTGGTTGTAGGTTCTCACTGTAGATTCTAACTATAGGTTCTGGTTGTAGGTTCTCACTGTAGATTCTAGCTATAGGTTCTGGTTGTAGGTTCTCACTGTAGATTCTTGTTCTTGCTGTGGGTTCTGGTTGTAGGTTCCTGGGGTATGTTGTTGCTACATGTTGGTGTGGGGTCTTGCTGCAGGTTCTTGCTTAAGGGTTCTGCTGTTGGTTCTTGTTCTAACTGTAGGTTCTAACAATGGGTTCCTGATGTAGGTTCTTGCTGTAGTATCTAGTTTTAGTTTCTAGCTGTAGATGTTTCTGTAGATTATTGCTGTAGATTCTTGCAATGAGTTTTTGCTGTTTCTAACTGGAGGTTCTTGATATGTTTTTGATGTAGGTTATTGCAGTAGGTTCTTGTTGCATGGTTTGGCTATAGGTTCTTGCTTCATGTTCTTGTTGGAGGTTCTGACTGTAGGTTCTTGCTGTAGGTTCTTTCTATAGGTTCTAGCAATGGGTTCTTGTTGTAAGTTCTAACTGTAGGTTCTTGCAATGGGTTCTTGTTGTAAGTTCTAACTGTAGGTTCTTGCAATGGGTTCTTGTTGTAAGTTCTAACTGTAGGTTCTTGCAATGGGTTCTTGTTGTAAGTTCTAACTGTAGGTTCTTGCAATATGTTCTTGTTGTAAGTTCTAACTGTAGGTTCTTGCTATAATTTCTTGCTGTAGGTTCTAACTGTAGGTTCTTGCAATTGGTTCTTGTTGTAAGTTCTAACTGTAGGTTCTTGCTATAATTTCTTGCTGTAGGTTCTAACTGTAGGTTCTTGCAATGGGTTCTTGTTGTAAGTTCTAACTGTAGGTTCTTGCAATGGGTTCTTGTTGTAAGTTCTAACTGTAGGTTCTAGCAATGGGTTCTTGTTGTAAGTTCTAACTGTAGGTTCTAGCAATCGGTTCTTGCTGTAAGTTCTAACTGTAGGTTCTAGCAATGGGTTCTTGTTGTAAGTTCTAACTGTAGGTTCTTGCAATGGGTTCTTGTTGTAAGTTCTAACTGTAGGTTCTTGCAATGGGTTCTTGTTGTAAGTTCTAACTGTAGGTTCTTGCAATGGGTTCTTGTTGTAAGTTCTAACTGTAGGTTCTTGCAATGGGTTCTTGCTGTCAGTTCTAACTGTAGGTTCTTGCAATGGGTTCTTGTTGTAAGTTCTTACTGTAGGTTCTTGCAATGGGTTCTTGTTGTAAGTTCTAACTGTAGGTTCTTGCTATAATTTCTTGCTGTAGGTTCTAACTGTAGGTTCTTGCAATGGGTTCTTGTTGTAAGTTCTAACTGTAGGTTCTAGCAATGGGTTCTTGCTGTAGGTTCTAACTGTAGGTTCTTGCAATGGGTTCTTGTTGTAAGTTCTTACTGTAGGTTCTTGCAATGGGTTCTTGTTGTAAGTTCTAACTGTAGGTTCTTGCTATAATTTCTTGCTGTAGGTTCTAACTGTAGGTTCTTGCAATATGTTCCTGTTGTAAGTTCTAACTGTAGGTTCTAGCAATGGGTTCTTGCTGTAGGTTCTAACTGTAGGTTCTTGCAATGGGTTCTTGCTGTAAGTTCTAACTGTAGGTTCTTGCAATGGGTTCTTGTTGTAAGTTCTAACTGTAGGTTCTTGCAATGGGTTCTTGTTGTAAGTTCTAACTGTAGGTTCTAGCAATGGGTTCTTGTTGTAAGTTCTAACTGTATGTTCTTGCTATAATTTCTTGCTGTAGGTTCTAACTGTAGGTTCTTGCAATATGTTCTTGCTGTAAGTTCTAACTGTAGGTTCTTGCAATGGGTTCTTGTTGTAAGTTCTAACTGTAGGTTCTTGCAATGGGTTCTTGTTGTAAGTTCTAACTGTAGGTTCTTGCAATGGGTTCTTGTTGTAAGTTCTTCCTGTAGGTTCTAGCAATGGGTTCTTGTTGTAAGTTCTAACTGTAGGTTCTTGCAATGGGTTCTTGCTGTAAGTTCTAACTGTAGGTTCTTGCAATGGGTTCTTGTTGAAAGGTCTTACTGTTGGTTCTAGCAATGGGTTCTTGTTGTAAGTTCTAACTGTAGGTTCTAGCAATGGGTTCTTGTTGTAAGTTCTAACTGTAGGTTCTTGCAATGGGTTCTTGTTGTAAGTTCTAACTGTAGGTTCTTGCAATGGGTTCTTGTTGTAAGTTCTAATTGTAGGTTCTTGCAATGGGTTCTTGCTGTAAGTTCTAACTGTAGGTTCTTGCAATGGGTTCTTGTTGTAACTTCTAACTGTAGGTTCTAGCAATGGGTTCTTGTTGTAAGTTCTAACTGTAGGTTCTTGCAATATGTTCTTGTTGTAAGTTCTAACTGTAGGTTCTTGCAATTGGTTCTTGCTGTAAGTTCTAACTGTAGGTTCTAGCAATGGGTTCTTGTTGTAAGTTCTAACTGTAGGTTCTTGCAATGGGTTCTTGCTGTAAGTTCTAACTGTAGGTTCTTGCAATGGGTTCTTGTTGTAAGTTCTAACTGTAGGTTCTAGCAATGGGTTCTTGCTGTAAGTTCTAACTGTAGGTTCTTGCAATGGGTTCTTGTTGTAAGTTCTAACTGTAGGTTCTAGCAATGGGTTCTTGTTGTAAGTTCTAACTGTAGGTTCTTGCAATATGTTCTTGTTGTAAGTTCTAACTGTAGGTTCTTGCAATTGGTTCTTGTTGTAGGTTCTTAATGTAAGTTCTTAATTTGGATTCTGGCTGATGGTTCTAACTGTCGGTTATTGCTGTAGGTTCTAACTGCAAGTTCTTTCTGTAGGTTCTTGCTGCAGGTTCTATATATATTAGCTTCTTGCTGTGGGTTCTTGCTATAGGTTCTACAGGACAATGTTCATTATACATGCTTTTGATTTCAGATGGTTGTGAAAATGTGAAATGTGACTTCCATGCAGTGTGTAACAGCGATGGGCGCCGCGCTGAGTGTGTCTGCATCGAGAAATGTACTGATGTAAGTATAGATTCAGTGTTGGGATGAGTCAGTGTGTGAGTGTATGAGTGAGTCAGAGTTGGAGTGAGTCAGTGTTGGGATGAGTCAGTGTGTGAGTGTGTGAGTGAGTCAGAGTTGGAGTGACTCAGTGTTGGAGTGAGTCAGTGTTGGAGTGAGTCAGTGTTGGAGTGAGTCAGTGTTGGGATCAGTCAGTGTGTGAGTGTATGAGTGAGTCAGTGTTGTAGTGAGTCAGTGTTGGAGTGAGTCAGTGTGTGAGTGTATGAGTGAGTCAGAGTTGCAGTGACTCAGTGTTGGAGTGGGTCAGTGTTGGGATCAGTCAGTGTGTGAGTGTATGAGTGAGTCAGAGTTGGAGTGAGTCAGTGTGTGAGTGAGTCAGTGTGTGAGTGTATGAGTGAGTCAGTGTGTGAGTGAGTCAGTGTTGGAGTGAGTCAGTGTTGGAGTGAGTCAGTGTTGGAGTGAGTCAGTGTGTGAGTGTATGAGTGAGTCAGTGTTGTAGTGACTCAGTGTTGGGATCAGTCAGTGTGTGAGTGTATGAGTGAGTCAGTGTTGTAGTGAGTCAGTGTTGGAGTGAGTGAGTGAGTGAGTGTATGAGTGAGTCAGAGTTGTAGTGACTCAGTGTTGGAGTGGGTCAGTGTTGGGATCAGTCAGTGTGTGAGTGTATGAGTGAGTCAGAGTTGGAGTGAGTGAGTGAGTCAGTGTATGAGTGAGTCAGTGTTGTAGTGAGTCAGTGTTGTAGTGAGTCAGTGTGTGAGTGAGTCAGTGTGTGAGTGAGTGAGTGTATGAGTGAGTCAGTGTTGGAGTGAGTCAGTGTTGGAGTGAGTCAGTGTGTGAGTGAGTCAATGTGTGAGTGAGTCAGTGTGTGAGTGTATGAGTGAGTCAGTGTTGTAGTGACTCAGTGTTGGAGTGGGTCAGTGTTGGGATCAGTCAGTGTGTGAGTGTATGAGTGAGTCAGAGTTGGAGTGAGTCAGTGTGTGAGTGAGTGTATGAGTGAGTCAGTGTTGGAGTGAGTCAGTGTTGGAGTGAGTCAGTGTGTGAGTGAGTCAGTGTGTGAGTGTATGAGTGAGTCAGTGTTGTAGTGACTCAGTGTTGGAGTGGGTCCGTGTTGGGATCAGTCAGTGTGTGAGTGTATGAGTGAGTCAGAGTTGGAGTGAGTCAGTGTGTGAGTGAGTCAGTGTGTGAGTGTATGAGTGAGTCAGTGTTGGAGTGAGTGAGTGAGTGAGTGTATGAGTGAGTCAGTGTTGTAGTGACTCAGTGTTGGAGTGAGTCAGTGTGTGAGTGAGTCAGTGTGTGAGTGAGTCAGTGTGTGAGTGTGTGAGTGAGTCAGTGTTGTAGTGAGCCAGTGTGTGAGTGTATGAGTGAGTCAGTGTTGTAGTGAGTCAGTGTTGTAGTGAGTCAGTGTGTGAGTGAGTCAGTGTGTGAGTGTATGAGTGAGTCAGTGTTGGAGTGAGTGAGTGAGTGAGTGTATGAGTGAGTCAGTGTTGTAGTGACTCAGTGTTGGAGTGAGTCAGTGTTGGGATGAGTCAGTGTGTGAGTGTATGAGTGAGTCAGAGTTGGAGTGAGTCAGTGTGTGAGTGAGTCAGTGTGTGAGTGTATGAGTGAGTCAGTGTTGGAGTGAGTGAGTGAGTGAGTGTATGAGTGAGTCAGTGTTGTAGTGACTCAGTGTTGGAGTGAGTCAGTGTTGGGATGAGTCAGTGTGTGAGTGTATGAGTGAGTCAGAGTTGGAGTGAGTCAGTGTTGGAGTGAGTCAGTGTGTTAGTCCGGCAGTGTTTGTATGTCCATGTGCGTAACAGTTTGGGTTATTATGCTGTGGTATACATTGGTACAATGAGACACTGGTTAAAGATTGATCATCCTCAGGCTGCCATGAGATCTGTGAAGTTTGGTGAAGACAATCACCCAAGAGCAATGTGACTCTTTAATAGTGCCACAGGCTAAACATTGATACCTGGATAGAAGACAGTGATTGAATGTTGGCTCTCTCTTGGGACTTCATGGCTAGTTCAGTGCACATGAAGTAATATGAACAATATTGGAATCAATAAGCTTCATAAAGCACACCTCAGCATAGTTTAATCAGCAGTTTAAATGGAGCCCAAAAATATAGTGTTTGAAACAGCAGTTGTCTCCCCTCACAATAGTGTCACCTCAATCTGAAAGCTAAAACTTCAGGTAGACATTAGTATGACATCAATAAAACACAATATCATATTTAATTTTCCAAACTAGAAATGGGTGATCTGAACAGGTGTTATCAGTAGAGCTTTCAAAAATATTAGGGTCAAATAAAATCATCTTGTGAAATACACACAAAAAATTCACATGCAATTGAGTAACATTTTCATCACATTCTACTTGATGAAATAAACACATCATGTGGAAGATCGGAGAAGCATCCATTATATATTGATTAACGTAGAAAGCCATAACTCTGGAATAATACAATTTCATGAGCTGGTAGACTTGTTAATTCCTGTATATCGCACAGCGGCAGACACACCACGAGACTTGTGTGCCAAGAATAAATCTAGAATAATTTAATTTTCATTGGCACTGTGGGTGCTTCGTCAATGCCAGAAACCATCGAGAGGCCGTATCTCTGTTTCCTGATTATGAAATGGGATCATGTATAACACCTACTGTGCAAGAACATTGAGCGACTGTGCACGGGTGAGGTGTGCTTTTCTCTGGTATTGAATTTTGTCAGTACAACTTGGTCACAATGTGTAATAATCACAACAACGTGAAATGGTGTTCACCTGTTTTCTATCATGTATGGAAAATGTTGTGTTGTATTCTGTTGGAGCTGACTTTTTGACACAGAGAGATCCCAGGTGTACAGAAATACTGTTTCTGATCAGTGAGTGAGTGAGTGAGTTGGGTTTAACGCCGGTTTGAACAGTATATTTCAGTTACATCCCAGCGTGTCAGCTTGATGTAATCGGAAAGCCTGAAGTGAAGTCTCAGGCTTTTACCTCTTTGGTGAAACCCACAAGCAACCGGGATTCGTCCCACAATCATAGGTTTCTGTTGTACCCAAGGGATGCAACTCTGCATAGCGAATCACAGCGCCTTAGACGACTGGGCCCCTGTGCCCCCCAAAGATTTTAGAAATCTTTATGAAATTATCAGATATGTTCGTGTGAATGTAAATTAGATTTTTGTTTCAAAAGTCTGGTAGGGTATCGACAAACCTAGAAACGTAATCAGGGCGAACTGGAATTTGAACCTATGATTATAATTTAAGTCATGGTCAAGGGATGCAACTCTGCACAACTGCCCCGTTTCTGATTAAGCTGACCTGGTATGTGCTCGTGTATGAGAACCCTAATATAATGTATAGTGGGTAAAAAATCAAATGCAGATGTGCATACAATCGGCTAATTAAGCTAATTGAACACAAGTTAATTACTGACAAAAACAAAGCATCATGCTCATACCATTAGTTGCTTGGCTCGTACATCCTTAATTTTCACATCAGACGCCGCTTTTACCACAATTCCAGCAATATCACGGTGGGGGACACCAGAAATGGGTTTCACACATTGTACCCATGTCGGGAATCAAACCCGGGTCTTCGGCGTGACGATCAAACGCTTTAACCACTAGGCTACCCGACTGTCCCCAGACTGCAGAGAAGTGTTAAGAGGTGATTTCCAAATAACACAGAAATTGGTTCACACAGAACTTAATTGTAAATCAGTAAATGACAACACGCAGTATCAATGATTAATCCACAAACTCAATTCAAACACTCAGATTTAGGTTTACAATCAGAAAGCCAATACTAGGGCCACATTATTGGCAGCAGAAGTAAGTAACAGGCTCCATAATAAATGTGAGTGCACAAAAGTTGATTGTCTCCATCCTTGAATCCAGAATAGTGATGAAGCTGGCAGGAATTCAGTGTTATCAGATAGGTATCGAATCAACACTAACAAGTAGATAATATACAAATCAGGTCGAAAAAGACCTGGAATCGCCCTCTTCTTTCTTTTACGTAATAGGTACAGCCATCCTTCTAGAAACTGTCTCATCCTTAAAGTCTTGAATGATCAAGCCTGACATGTTCATAAACAATCAGGGGCAGTAACTCTAAATTCCACTTCCGCCTTCAAATCTGCCAATGAAAGGCTCATCATTTTACTGGCACTTAAATCATTTTGCTGCCTGACAATTTCTACAAATAAATTTACAACAGACATACTGGCCACTTGACAGTATTATTTTCTGTCTTTATATCCAGGTAAGAGATCCAGTGTGCGGAGACGATGGCATCACCTACAAGAATGAGTGTCTCATGAAGGTCACATCATGCCGATATCGCAAGTTCGTCTCCAAGGCTTCCGGTGGAGAGTGTGGTAAGGGACTGATCTGGGCCCACTTGCACAAAGCGATCTTAGTGCAAAGATCATCATAACTCTGTTATTTACCATAGATTTACGACAGACATAGCATAAAGATTGCAGCCCGGGACCCATCTGACCAAGTGATCATAACACTACGTCTATCGTAGCCCTGATATTTTAATAACAACTTATGACAGTCTTAATGCTGACACCATTTTGTGAAACTGGACCCATGACAGTTTACAATCCCATTAGTGATACTTATAGCTCTTAAAGGAAGACTCCACTTTGTCAAATTGGCAGTCATGGCAAGTTTATTTCTAGTCATGTAGGGTTATTTTGGCTGCTAACTCAAATTTGATGATGTATGTCAGACAATGTCAGGGTCTGGATCTAGAGAGGAATGGGCACCATGTCAGAGTGGACCATATTTATTTTTTAACCTCCAGTAGAAACTAGTCAAAACCAGTTTGGAAGAATATAGCCCTTGTCTCTTAAAGACACCAGGTCTTGTAAAAGTGTACATGAATGATGCCCTTTAGGAAAACATGCATATAAAGAATAGTTCCTAAATCGCCCTGAAGAAATTGGACATGAATAGATTGCTGTGTCATTTTCAAGTCCAAGGTGAGATTAGGTGAAATGGTGTTTAACATTGTATTCAAGATTATTGCATTTACACAGCAACGTGCATGGAACGTTTGTGTGTGACCGCTTGTAGTAGTCCGGACTAGGGCTCGGACGAGTCCAAATTTATTACCCGGGTATATCCGACACTCTACCCTACCCCGACCTGCTGTAGATCTTAAGAGTTGGGTACAAAATGTCTGAATGTGAATTGTTTTACCGCAGCCCTGGCAAAAACTGCTTAGATACACGTATAAAACAATCTGGTCATGCATACACTGCAGTTGATAGACGCTTTATCCTTACTCAAACATATACAAGTCAGAACGAATGCCTTCATAGTGAGAAAGAAATGTGAACATTAGCTATACTTGTAGTGTAACCATTGTTTTATTGTTAATGTCATTACATTATATCACGTGACTAACCACGGGTCCAGGTAGTCATGTGGGTCCCTGGGTCCTACTAAGGACCCACCCGACCCAAGTACCCGAGTTACCTGTCCAAGCCCTTGTCCGGACTAATGATGTTTTCATAGTGCGAGCCCACTGAGACCCTGCCACAGTTTAACAGACACAGTATACCAACTCCTTGTTTTATTCCCCTAATGCGGAGTGCCAGGCAGGGTAACAGCAAGTACCATCTTTTGACATTTTTTGGTCTGACATAGCCGGGGATCGAACCACTGACCTTCAAACCGGGCAGACGCTCTGTCCACAACACCATGGAGGCGGTCTGTTATGTCCAAAACTATAAAGGGAACATTGTCTAATTTTGGTAACCATTATCAGCTTGATCGATATACATCATAAATTGGATAGACGGGCAGAGTGGGTTTAGAAGGAGATGAATCAAACTTGCCAGGACTGCCAATTAACCTGGGCCTTGTACCTCTTTATCAAATTTCAGGAACTGAAAAAAACTTCACAGGAGGTAAAAAGTGAAGGGAACTAACTCTTTGAGTAGACTTTAGAAGCAATGTTTCTTCTCTATTTCATGTGAATGCCAATATGTTTGAGGGATGACTTAAAAAATTCTTTTTGTATATTCTATTCATCCATTGACACAATCTGGTTTTGTAAAGAAATTTGTGTAGCAAGTAATAAAAAGAGAAGACTGGTGGTGCTACAGACTGATAAAAAAATCAGGAACACTCTGTTCCTGGGAACACTGAAATGTTTTTTGTTTTTTGCAAGCACAGTGTGATGTATTTTGAAGTTATCGCTTTGTAGTGTTGTGTATGTCAGACCTGTAGAGTGAGTTAAAATTTAAAGTCACATCGGCAGTATTTCAGCCATGTCTTGACCATCCAAGCCCAGTGTGATGTATTTTGAAGTTCTCTTTGTAGTGTTGTGTATGTCAGACCTGTAGAGTGAGTTAAAATTTAAAGACACATCAACAGTATTTCAGCCATGTCTTGACCATCCAAGCCAAGTGTGATGTATTTTGAAGTTCTCTTTGTAGTGTTGTGTATGTCAGACCTGTAGAGTGAGTTAAAATTTAAAGACACATCAACAGTATTTCAGCCATGTCTTGACCATCCAAGCCAAGTGTGATGTATTTTGAAGTTCTCTTTGTAGTGTTGTGTATGTCAGACCTGTAGAGTGAGTTAAAATTTAAAGTCACATCGGCAGTATTTCAGCCATGTCTTGACCATCCAAGCCCAGTGTGATGTATTTTGAAGTTTTGTTTTGTGTATGTCAGATCTGTAGAGTGAGTGAGTGAGTTAAAATTTAAATATCACATTGGCATTATTTCAGTTGTGACTGTCCAAAGTTATTCATAAGAACAGACCTGTAGAAGGAACTGTTTTGGTTCTACCTAGTTTCTATCAGGGTTGCAGACTGCTTACTTGAAGATCATTGCCAGTCCAAATTGTATGGCATCAAAAAGTGACGATGCATCTTTATTTCAGTTGATACTAATATTACATCAAACTTGATTTAGTCAAACCATATAGGAATATTAGGTCACCTCGTGACACACTTCAGTATTATAATAGCGAGGTTTAATTTCATGAAACCATCTTCATTTTGTTTCCAGTCTTCTGATTTTAATACTCACGATAAACATTAATTTAATTTTAAAATAGAAAAATAAATTTTAAATCTTTAATATTAAGTAGTTTGGTTTGAGATGACAATTTTTTGTTAGCATGTGTGAATGCCGATTCCTGATAAAATGATACCGGTATTTAGCTAATCACTCATGTGTTTATATTTCATGGGATTTGCAGTACACTAGGCTAGAAACTTCTTTGTACTTGAGATCAATAATACTGCATTACTTCTCTTTTTTAAACATAAAGGGTTCTTGACTTTTTGTACAAAATTGTACTAATTGGTAGAAAAAATATAACTGTCCATTATATGGGTCATTTTTGTATGACACCTGTTTTCAGTGGAAATAGGTGAGGTGAAATTGGGATTGACGTTGTGTCCAAGATTATTGCAATTAATTACCAACGTGCCTTAATGCGTGTGTGTGTTTGTCTGCTTGTACCAGTCCAGACTTATTCCGATTTTATAGTGCTAGCCCACTGAGATACCATGCCATAGTTTAACATGAATACCCCACTCAGACACAGTATACTGACTTCGAGCCGACCAGTCCTTGTTTAAGCCCCTTAATGCTGAGCATGTCTGGCGACAGGGTAACAACAAGTACCATCTTTTAACGTCTTTTGGTATGACGCGACCAGGGATCAAACCCCGGACCTTCAGCTCTCTAGGGTAACGCTCTACCACTGGACCACAGAGGCAGTCCCTTGGTGTTATTAACCCATCACTGATTGTTGGACAGGCTGTTCTTTGCAACTCTGTTTCAATTGGTAATGGCATCTCTCATCTGTTTCCTTTCACATGAACGACGAGGGCAGACGACTGGTCTGGATAATCACATACACTAATCACCTGGAGACTGGGCTACAAGACTTCCAAACACTCTTAATCTGATTCAGTTTGGAATTATGTTTGATATAATATTATATGTGTCTTTGATATAATATTATAGTCACTTTCAACTGTTTCACAACAAGACAGCCTCTTGATAGGTCCCACCCCCCAATTGTATATCACATTGATTATCACCTAAAGACTTTAAGACTAGACCAATTGTATATCACATTGACTTATCACCTAGAGACTAGGCTTTAAGACTTCCCAACATTTTTTATTTGATTTATTTTGTGTGTGTTTGGTATAGTATATATTTCCTTTGATATTATATTTTAGTCACTTTTAACTGTTTCCTAGCAACAAGACTGTCTGTTGATTGATAGGTATCCCGCCAAACATAAATCAAATTTTGATAGGGACCCATTCACCACCGTAGCTTAGTACTTGTTGTTACCCTGCCTGGTGCTCGGCATTAAGAGGCTAAAACAAGGACTTGTCAGCTCGGAGTCAGTGTCTGAGTGGGTATTCATGTTAAACTGTGGCATGGTGTCTCAGTGGGCTAGCACTATTAAATAGGCATTAGTCTAGATTAGTACAAGCAGAGCGTGCGCGCGCACGCACACACACACATGTTGCTATATAAGTGCAATATTCTGGTTCAACCCTGTTTTACCTCATCTCACCATAGTTTTGTGTCTGGGTCCTGTTCGAATGTGACAATGAGGTCCGATCAATATATAACGTCTTCTATTATGATTTAAGCAATGATGATATCACCAGTATTCTACTTTTGCATGTCATTTAAAATACAACCAGACTGAAGCATCCTCAGCTTATGCAGGTTCCCTGTGGGAGTTCCGTGTTAGGAGAGCTCACAAACAATCTTTTCTTGTTGTAAGAGGCGACAAACAGGATGGCGTGGTCAGGCTCGCTGACTTGGCTGATGCATGTCATTGCATCCCAGGGTGCCCTGGAAAAGTGGGGATGATACATCCCTGGTTATAATTAAGCTCAGACCAAATATTGTTAGGGTGTTTTTAGTGTCCCCTGAGGACTTATATTCTTACCAAGAATCCACAAGGTAATTTTGTTGGTATGCCTGGGCCCATTTCACAAAGCTATCATAGCACTATGACTGTCGTAAGTCTGGATTTACGCAAGTCGAAGCACTTTGATCACTTTGAGAAACAGGCCTTGTATTAATCATATATGTCCTCAGGTCAGTTTCCTTATGGGATTAATGGAAGAGTTGTCTTTCCTTGTTAAGAGTCTCAATCCCATCTATGCTTGTTGTAAGAGGCGACTGACAGGGAATGGGTGATCAAACTTGGTGACTTGGTTGATGCATGTCACCATGTCCCAGTTGCGTGGATCGATGTTCATGATGTCAATCGCTGGATTGTCTGGTCCAAACTTGATTATTTAAAGACCAACATCATAAAGCTGTATTATTGCTGAGTGCGGTGTTAAACAACAAACAAATAAAAAATACACACCAAATAAACTGATTTTCCTATTTTTCAGGCAGATGTTCTGGCAAAGTTTGCAGATTTGGAGCCAACTGTGAGAATGGTGCCTGTGTTTGCCCGATCCTATGTGAAACTACCCACAAACCAATTTGTGCAACAAACGGTCAGACGTACGTGAACCGCTGCGATATGAAGCGTGCAGCATGCGCGCAGAACATGGAGTTGGACGTGGACCATGAAGGGGAGTGCCCGGACCATTCTGGATCTGGTGATGGTACTCTTCTTGTTGTTTTTTGTGGCTGTGGTAGGTTTGGCGGATGAAGCTTTCAGGAAAATTCAGAGGACATGCTGACTTTTTTAAACCTATAGTGTAACAGAAATAATACATGTTGCACCAAATGGTATATGGTCTATGGTTGGGGATATATGTTTCTGTTGTAGTTACTCTGATTATACGTACTATATCAAAGGGAGACTACTGCTGAACAAGCTTAAGGAATATCAGGACCTGATAAATTAACTGACATATCTACATAATCCATGCCATCAACAACAGGGGTGGCAGGTTTGCTCGTGGGCCAGTCCACATGGTGCATTGATAAATAAACTAAAAGAATGAACATCATTCTCCAATGCTGTCCCCTGTTAAATGGATATGGCTTCTTCCATTGCAGGAGAATCGCCTACTGTCCGAAAACGTGATTTAATTCACACTGATTTTTCTTGAGATTGTTTAGCAGAAGAGTTGGGGTAATTTGAAATTCAAGCAAGTTTGATTGAAGTTATTTAAACATAACTTTGGCTGACTTCTAAATCAATCAAGCTGTTGATAGTGACCCTATTGTTTCAAAGGTCATGCACATCCCTCCTTCTTCAAGGCTGCTTCACTCCAGCTTCAACCAACCGAGTTTTTGTCAATGTAAACTTTGTGGTTAGGCAATTTTAATTTCAAGATGTATATTTTCTGCTGCTCTTATTTTCTGTGTAAATGTTTTAATTTGAATTTTTGATGTGTTTTTTTAATTCTATGTATCTTCGTATTCAGTTTGTTATATTTGGCAGGCAGCAAACAGTTGCAGCTAAAATGTCATTTGTGTGAATCCACATCAACAGGATATGGTACAATAGGTTGTGTTCAGAGTAGGGTTAGTTAGACTCATTATAATAATAATTTTAATAAGAATTACAGCATGACATTCTGGATACTTGTCTCCTTGATACTTGTCTCCAATTGGTCTAGTTATTTGTTCCATAATCAACTTCAGATATAACAAACTGTAAAAAAACTCAACTTTGACAAAAATGCCACTCGAGTTGAAACTATCTGAGACCAACAGTACCAGTATTTGACCTTGTTTTAAGTTTTATGATGCAGTATTCTTATGCATATAACTCTAAATATTACAAACTGTTTGTGGCAAACAAAAAGTTAAATATATGTCGGTGTCACATGAAACAGTTAGATTCATTCACTTCTGTGTTGGGGGGCACGGGTGGCCCAGTCATCTAAGGCACCACAATTCACTGTGCAGAGTTGCGTCCCTTGGGCACGCCAGAAACCTATGATTGTGGGTTCGAATCCCAGTTCGCCCTGATTATGTTTCTTGGCTTGTCAGCACCATACCCGTGGTCATGGGTTTCACCGAAGAGGTAAACGTCTGAGACCTGCATCACTTCGGGCTTTCTTCCAAAATCAAACTGACACGCTGTGGTATAACTGGAATACTGTTAAAAGCGGCGTTAAACCCAACTCACTCACTCACTCTATTTATTTGTTCCATACAATCAACTTCAGATATAACAAACTTTAAAAAAAACTCAACTATGACAAAAATGCCACTTTAATTAAAACTATCTGAGACCACCTGTTCCAGTATTTGACCTTGTTTTAAGTTTTATGATGCAGTGTTTTAATGCATATAACTCTTGATATTACAAACTACTTGTAGCAAACAAAAAGTTAAATACTAGGTATATGTCGGTGTCACATGAAACAGTTAGATTCATTTACACCTGTGTTGATTCACACACCTGACATAAGTTGTCTAACTAACCTTATCTTTTATCAAACAGCTGACAGGTAATGTATGGAGGTCTGCCAGCGGTGGTCATGTGACTTTTCAAATGATCACATGACCTATCATATGATCACATGAGTTATTTTTAGAGGGTTCTGGTGACTTCATGGAGAAATGTGACGACACAAGTTGCCGTTTTGGTGGCATTTGCACAGCAGCTTGGGATGGCTACTTTACATGTGCTTGCAACTTTAACTGTGAAGCCCTGAGGTAAGACGGTTTACTTTAAGGACGAGAGTTTATGGATGTCAACTTCTTTATTATAAGAAACACAACGTTTCGGAGTATGTGCTTACTCCTTCATCAGGTGTGACCACATTATGTTTCTCATAATAAAGAAGTTAACATCCTTAAATTCTCTTTCTATGTGTATCACTTCTAAATGCCTTTCAAAGGCTTGACGATTTCCTTGTTAGGTTTTTTTGTTTGTTTGTTGTTTAATGCCTAACGCAGCATTATTCAAGCTATTTGATGGCACTCTGTAAATAATCAAGTCTGGTATAGACAATCCAGTGATTGACATCATGAGCATTATTCCAGCAATATCATGACACCAGAAATTGGCTTCACACATTGTACCCATGTGGGGAATCAAACCCGGGCCTTCGGTGTGACGAGCAAACGCTTTACCCACTAGGCTACCCAACCATCCCTCTAAATCCCTCTAAATTTCACTTCTTATGACAAGCATCTTGTCTTTAATCATTTGGGGGATATAATAGTGAGACACACACAGATATTATTACCCCAAACTAGGCCTGCGTAGGACCTCCACAGAGTATGTTCAATAAACTGATAAACTAAAGAATGTGTTGCAAGAAACATGCTGCTTTAAACTTCTTCACTGGCCTAGATGATCCCTTTAAAATATTGATCCACTTTAAAAGGTTTAAACCCTTGCACCTCAAAAGTTGGCAAATGTAAACATCAAAAGCTGGAGTTGCAGCAATATTGCTCGACATAAAGGGAAAGTTTGTCATACAGCCTTGTGGAGAGTGTTTCGTCAATCTGAATCTTTATGTGGGGGTACGGGTGGCCCAGTCGTCTAAGGCGGCGCAATTCGCTGTGCAGAGTTCCGTCCCTTGGGCACGCCAGACACCTATGATTGTTGGTTCAAATCCCGGTTCCCCCCGATTATGTTTCTAGGTTTGTCAGCACCATACCTGTGCTCGTGGGTTTCACCGAAGTGGTAAACGTCTGAGACCTGCATCACTTCGGGCTTTCCTTCCATATAAAGCTGACACGCCGTGATATAACTGGAATACTGTTAAAAGCGGCGTTAAACCCAACTCACTCACTCACTCACTGAATCTTTATGCATAGATCTAAGTATGAAACAGATGAGGTGGTTTCACTGGTCTCCATTGATACTTGTTCAGGTGGGGAAATCAAGGGAATAGGTAATTTGACAGTTATTGAACGATAAACAATGCCCTAAATATACGATGGACATATATCATATGGACAAAACCAATCACCATTAGAAGTCATGTAATAGGAGGGAGAGGAATTTTACATTTATATTTTTGTAAGATATATTGTTGTTGTTATTTTCCTGAGCTGTGTGATTTTGTGAATTTGTAGGAAAATCCTTTTTGATGCAATGAACTCATTAATGCTAAAGATGTTGCCACTCGGTTATTCCATAGCTCCTAATTTTGAAACCATTATTCCTATGAAGCTTAAATTTGCACAGAACATCCACGGTATAGTGTCTCTGAATATTTCTCACAGAATTCAAAGCCAATGTTTATTTATGGCAACACCGTTGTAGGTGAGGGGAGGTGAAACGGGGTTTAACATTACGGTAAAGATTATTGCACTTCTATGGCGATGTGCATGCATGTGTATGTGTGGCTTCATGTACTAGTCCAGACTAATGCCTGCTTTACTGTTCCTGCCCACGAAGATACCATGTCAGAATTTTACATGGATACCCTACTCAATCTCATTAAAATCAGACCTTACTTCTCGCTACCGCTAAACAAAGACCTGAAGACATCCCATCAGGGGTCACGTCAGAACGACCTTTCATCCGACCAATCAGAGCGTCGCTTACCAGATCATGAAAGTGACAGTCGGAATGTGATTTCTAATCATACAACCTCGAAAACATTATCACAGGGTATTCCGAACGATGGTTACGGGTTTAACAACTAAATCCATACAATCTAGACCATCTATTAGCCATTGCAGAATGTTCTTTTGTTCAGGTTTCAAATTTGTAATCGAGAATTTGTCAAAATATATTGCGAAGTGTAGTCGCCAATTTGGAATTAGTGCCGTAAAGCATGAGAAAGCTGCCTTCTGATTGGTCGGTCAAAGTTTGTGCAAGGTTGGTCTAACGTGACCCGTAATGGGATGTCCTCAGATCTTTGTTTAGCGGTAGCGAGAACTAAGATCTGATCTTAATGAGATTGATACCCCACTCAGACACACTGCTGACTCCAAGCATCCAGTCCTTGGTTTATTCCCTTTTAAGATGAGTAACAGGCAGTGAGTGAGTGAGTGAGTATGGTTTTACGCCGCTTTTAGCAATATTCCAGCAATATCACGGCGGGGGACACCAGAAATGGGCTTCACACATTGTACCCACGTCGGGAATCGAACCCTGGTCTTCGGCGTGACGAGCGAACGCTTTAACCACTAGGCTACCCGACCGCCCCTCAAATGGATGAAATGGGCTCCGTCAGGGCAACAAGGGTTGACAACTCCACGTGGACAAAGATTCCGTTGTACCACAACTCATTTTTAATAATTAACCCATGCTTGTCGTAAGAAGCGACTAATGGGATTGGGTGGTGAGGCTTGCTGCTTGGGTGATGTATGTCATATCCTTATTGTGTCAATTGATGTTCATGATGATTATTTGGTGTGGCAGACTGGGGATCAAACCACAGACAGTTTTCTCTCCGGACAGACACTCTATCCACAACGCCATGCATGGGGTGCTTTGTTGTAGTGATGTTTGAATAGCAAGGTGGGCCCTTATGGGTGCCAGCTAGGATTTGCAAAGATAAAAAATATGAATTGTATATGAGAATCTTCAGTTTTGAATCTAACCAGTTCCCCCAAACGAAATATTCAAGATGTGAATTCAAAATAAATTGATTTCCCCGTGCTTTTGATGTGACCTTTTTCAAAAAGAAACTGTCAAATTCATCCTGAAAGCATTCCTAATCTTGTGAAGCTCACAATCAATACAAGACCATCTGGGCCTGAGAGGTTGGAAATCAGTGTCTGTTGTAATTGTTGCATGACATAGGATGCAAGCTTCTGTTGGGCGAGAGATAAATTTCTTTATGCATATTTCATATTACAAGAAGTGAAGCATGCTTCACCTTTCAAAATTTGACAGTTTTGGTTTGAAGCACTTCCCATCAGGCCTTGCAGGCAAACCCCAACTTTAACTGTGGCATTTCATGTCATTTCATGTCATCTTTGCTACCCAAAAATTTTGTGTCATTTTTTTTTACGTGACCCTAAAAATGTTGAATGTTGGCAGTGAAATGAACATGCGAAAGAACACAAGTTAAAAAAAATCTTGATTTATTTGGAATAGTATTGCTGAATCAGGGTAATTACCCTGCAATTAAATAGCAGTTGACAGTCTGTGCATGTTTAGGAGGACAGTACACAACGATGAAAAGCCGATTTCTGAATTGAACAAGTGAAGGAAAAGATGGAAAAAAAGTCTTGACTTATTTGAATGGTATTGTTGAATTATGGGTAATTACCCTGCAAAAAAATAGCAGTTGATTCCCAGTGCGCATTTAACAGAACAGAACACGACCGCCCAGTCATCCAAGCCACCGCTATGCAGGTTATGTTTCTAGGTTTGTCAGCTCCATACCAACATTAAACTGACACTCTGTTCAAAGTGGCGTTACACTCGCTCGCTTGCTCGCTCGCTCACTCACTCACTCACTCACTCACTCACTCACTTATTCACCCACCCACCCACCCACCCACACACCCACCCACTCACTCACTCACTCACTCACTCACTCACTCACTCACTCACTCACTCACTCACTCACTCACTCACCCACTCACTCACTCACCCCACCCACTCACCCCACCCACTCACCCACTCACTTCTTCCACGTATTCTCCACCAAAGCTTGTCAGTGTCCCTCCCTTAAGCACACAGCCAAGTGTGCTCCATGCAGTGGTGCAAGGTGTCCTAATTTACCAAAATGTCTGAGACATTAAGCTGACACAAAGCAGGGTCAAGCCAAACTCAGTCATTCTGTGTTTCCGATGTCTCGGACAAGCTGACTGTAGCTGTTTCTAACCCTTGCTTCTGCAGGTCCCCTGTGTGTGGCTCGGATGGCAAGTCATACCCTAATCAATGTCAGATGAAGTACGAGTCTTGTCAACAACAGAAAGAGATCCTTATCCAGGACAGCGACAACTGTGATGGTAAGTACAGCTGATAAAGTAGGAAATGAAATATGTCTAGGAATCATTATATCTCATCGAACTACTGCCTAAATAAAGCCTTCCAGATCTCTCCGTTCTCAGAATAACCACCTGCTACAATTCCGGGAAACCCGTCACAAAACCTTTGGTCAGAGATCTTTCCAGTTCTGCGCTTCGTCGCTATGGAACAAACTACCATCTGATCTTAAGCTCTCGCCATCACTTTCATCCTTTAAGGCTCATCTGAAAACACACCTTTTCAGACAACACTATCAACTCTACTCCCCTTTCATCAGCATTATTTGCTAAAGCTATGTAACGCCATGAGCATTAACTTGGTGAATGGAATCTGGCGCATATAAATGGACTTATTATTATTATCTGCAGGGTTGGTAATTTGGACCAGTCAATAGGACTAGACCAAAACATACATGTTGAACTTTGATGTGTCGAACTTATGGTGGTCTCAAAGTGAAAGCTTGGTCTCTGCATTTTCCCTCTTTATTCATCATTTTCGGTTGTGTCGAACCTCAGACAACTTGAAACATTATGTAGGTCCCTTCAACTTCGACACAACAGTGTTTGACTGTATTTCACAAACATCCACAGAGTTGGCAGTTGGCACAGCTATATTTCAATATGTAGTAACATCATCTGTTACTGTAGTCATCGAGGACTAACATCATTGAAGTTTTAGTTGTCCTCAGCACTTTAGTTCTTAAAGACTGATGTGTTGTGTAGATGGTTGGGCCCTGGTATGGTCATCTTCCTGAAGCAAGTGTGTCCACTAGCCTATATCAAAGCCTACTCTCCGAGGCAAGCATGTCCACAAGCCCATATCAAAGCCTAGTCCCTGTGGCAAGTGTGTCCACTAGCCTATATCAAATCCTAGTCCTTGTGGCAAGTGTGTCCACTAGCCCATATCAAAGTCTACTCTCCGAGGCAAGCATGTCTACTAGCCTATATCAAAGCCTAGTCCCAGTGGCAAGTGTGTCCACTAGCCCATATCAAAGTTGACTCTCCGAGACAAGAATGTCTACTAGCCTACATCAAAGCCTAGTCCCTGTGGCAAGTGTGTCCACTAGCCTAGATCAAAGCCTACTCTCCGAGGCAAGCATGTCCACTAGCCTATATCAAAGCCTACTCTCCGAGACAAGCATGTCTACTAGCCTATATAAAAGCCTAGTCCCAGGGGCAAGTGTGTCCACTAGCCCATATCAGAGTCGACTCTCCGAGGCAAGCATGTCTACTAGCCTATATCAAAGTCTACTATCCGAGGCAAGTGTGTCCACTAGCCTAGATCAAAGCCTACTCTCCGAGGCAAGCATGTCCACAAGCCCATATCAAAGCCTAGTCCCTGTGGCAAGTGTGTCACACTAGCCTATATCAAAGTCTGCTCTCCGAGGCAAGTGTATCCACTAGCCTAGATCAAAGCCTACTCTCCGAGACGAGCATGTCCACAAGCCCATATCAAAGCCTAGTCCCTGTGGCAAGTGTGTCACACTAGCCTATATCAAAGTCTACTCTCCGAGGCAAGCATGTCCACTAGCCTAGATCAAAGCCTACTCTCCGAGGCAAGCATGTCCACAAGCCCATTTCAAAGCCTAGTCCCTGTGGCAAAGGTGTCCACTAGCCTAGATCAAAGCCTACTCTCCGAGGCAAGCATGTCTACTAGCCTATATAAAAGCCTAGTCCAAGGGGCAAGTGTGTCCACTAGCCCATATCAAAGTCGACTCTCCGAGGCAAGCATGTCTACTAGCCTATATCAAAGTCTACTCTCCGAGGCAAGTGTGTCCACTAGCCTATATCAAAGCCTACTCTCTGAGGCAAGCATGTCCACTAGCCTATATCAAAGTCTACTCTCCGAGACAAGCATGTCTACTAGCCTATAAAAAAGCCTAGTCCCAGGGGCAAGTGTGTCCACTAGCCCATATCAAAGTCGACTCTCCGAGGCAAGCATGTCTACTAGCCTATATCAAAGCCTAGTCCCAGTGGCAAGTGTGTCCACGAGCCCATATCAAAGTCGACTCTCCGAGACAAGAATGTCTACTAGCCTACATCAAAGCCTAGTCCCAGGGGCAAGTGTGTCCACTAGCCCATATCAGAGTCGACTCTCCAAGGCAAGCATGTCTACTAGCCTATATCAAAGTCTACTCTCCGAGGCAAGCATGTCTACTAGCCTATATTAAAGCCTAGTCCCAGTGGCAAGTGTGTCCACTAGCCCATATCAAAGCCTACTCTCCGAGGCAAGCATGTCCACAAGCTGATATCAAAGCCTAGTCCCTGTGGCAAGTGTGTCACACTAGCCTATATCAAAGCCTACTTTTCGAGGCAAGCATGTCCACTAGCCTATATCAAAGTCTACTCTCCGAGACAAGCATGTCTACTAGCCTATATAAAAGCCTAGTCCCAGGGGCAAGTGTGTCCACTAGCCCATATCAAAGTCTACTCTCCGTGGCAAGCATGTCTACTAGCCTATATCAAAGCCTAGTCCCAGTGGCAAGTGTGTCCAAGAGCCCGTATCAAAGTCGACTCTCCGAGACAAGAATGTCTACTAGCCTACATCAAAGCCTAGTCCCAGTGGCAAGTGTGTCCACTAGCCCATATCAAAGTCTACTCTCCGAGGCAAGCATGTCTACTAGCCTATATTAAAGCCTAGTCCCAGTGGCAAGTGTGTCCACTAGCCTATATCAAAGCCTACTCTCCGAGGCAAGCATGTCTACTAGCCTATATAAAAGCCTAGTCCCAGGGGCAAGTGTGTCCACTAGCCCATATCAGAGTCGACTCTCCGAGGCAAGCATGTCTACTAGCCTATATCAAAGTCTACTATCCGAGGCAAGTGTGTCCACTAGCCTAGATCAAAGCCTACTCTCCGAGGCAAGCATGTCCACAAGCCCATATCAAAGCCTACTCTCCGAGACAAGCATGTCTACTAGCCTATATAAAAGCCTAGTCCCAGGGGCAAGTGTGTCACACTAGCCTATATCAAAGTCTACTCTCCGAGGCAAGTGTATCCACTAGCCTAGATCAAAGCCTACTCTCCGAGACAAGCATGTCCACAAGCCCATATCAAAGCCTAGTCCCTGTGGCAAGTGTGTCACACTAGCCTATATCAAAGTCTACTCTCCGAGGCAAGTGTATCCACTAGCCTAGATCAAAGCCTACTCTCCGAGACAAGCATGTCCACAAGCCCATATCAAAGCCTAGTCCCTGTGGCAAGTGTGTCACACTAGCCTATATCAAAGTCTACTCTCCGAGGCAAGCATGTCCACTAGCCTAGATCAAAGCCTACTCTCCGAGGCAAGCATGTCTACTAGCCTATATAAAAGCCTAGTCCAAGGGGCAAGTGTGTCCACTAGCCCATATCAAAGTCGACTCTCCGAGGCAAGCATGTCTACTAGCCTATATCAAAGTCTACTCTCCGAGGCAAGTGTGTCCACTAGCCTATATCAAAGCCTACTCTCTGAGGCAAGCATGTCCACAAGCTGATATCAAAGCCTAGTCACTGTGGCAAGTGTGTCACACTAGCCTATATCAAAGCCTACTTTTCGAGGCAAGCATGTCCACTAGCCTATATCAAAGTCTACTCTCCGAGACAAGCATGTCTACTAGCCTATAAAAAAGCCTAGTCCCAGGGGCAAGTGTGTCCACTAGCCCATATCAAAGTCGACTCTCCGAGGCAAGCATGTCTACTAGCCTATATCAAAGCCTAGTCCCAGTGGCAAGTGTGTCCACGAGCCCATATCAAAGTCGACTCTCCGAGACAAGAATGTCTACTAGCCTACATCAAAGCCTAGTCCCAGTGGCAAGTGTGTCCACTAGCCCATATCAAAGTCTACTCTCCGAGGCAAGCATGTCTACTAGCCTATATTAAAGCCTAGTCCCAGTGGCAAGTGTGTCCACTAGCCCATATCAAAGCCTACTCTCCGAGGCAAGCATGTCCACAAGCTGATATCAAAGCCTAGTCCCTGTGGCAAGTGTGTCACACTAGCCTATATCAAAGCCTACTTTTCGAGGCAAGCATGTCCACTAGCCTATATCAAAGTCTACTCTCCGAGACAAGCATGTCTACTAGCCTATATAAAAGCCTAGTCCCAGGGGCAAGTGTGTCCACTAGCCCATATCAAAGTCTACTCTCCGAGGCAAGCATGTCTACTAGCCTATATCAAAGCCTAGTCCCAGTGGCAAGTGTGTCCACGAGCCCATATCAAAGTCGACTCTCCGAGACAAGAATGTCTACTAGCCTACATCAAAGCCTAGTCCCAGTGGCAAGTGTGTCCACTAGCCCATATCAAAGTCTACTCTCCGAGGCAAGCATGTCTACTAGCCTATATTAAAGCCTAGTCCCAGTGGCAAGTGTGTCCACTAGCCCATATCAAAGCCTACTCTCCGAGGCAAGCATGTCCACTAGCCTATATTAAAGACTAGTCCCAGTGGCAAGTGTGTCCACTAGCCCATATCAAAGCCTACTCTCCAAGGCAAGTGTGTCCACGAGCCTATATCAAAGCCTAGTCCCCTTGGCAAGTGTGTCCACGAGCCTATTTCAAAGCCTACTCCCCTTGGCAAGTGTGTCCACTAGCCTAGATCAAAGCCTAGTCCCCTTGGCAAGCATGTCTACTAGCCTATATCAAAGCCTAGTCCCAGTGGCAAGTGTGTCCACGAGCCCATATCAAAGTCGACTCTCCGAGACAAGAATGTCTACTAGCCTACATCAAAGCCTAGTCCCAGTGGCAAGTGTGTCCACTAGCCCATATCAAAGTCTACTCTCCGAGACAAGCATGTCTACTAGCCTATATTAAAGCCTAGTCCCAGTGGCAAGTGTGTCCACTAGCCCATATCAAAGCCTACTCTCCGAGGCAAGCATGTCCACAAGCTGATATCAAAGCCTAGTCCCTGTGGCAAGTGTGTCACACTAGCTTATATCAAAGCCTACTTTTCGAGGCAAGCATGTCCACTAGCCTAAATCAAAGTCTACTCTCCGAGACAAGCATGTCTACTAGCCTATATAAAAGCCTAGTCCCAGGGGCAAGTGTGTCCACTAGCCCATATCAAAGTCTACTCTCCGAGGCAAGCATGTCTACTAGCCTATATCAAAGCCTAGTCCCAGTGGCAAGTGTGTCCACGAGCCCATATCAAAGTCGACTCTCCGAGACAAGAATGTCTACTAGCCTACATCAAAGCCTAGTCCCAGTGGCAAGTGTGTCCACTAGCCCATATCAAAGTCTACTCTCCGAGGCAAGCATGTCTACTAGCCTATATTAAAGCCTAGTCCCAGTGGCAAGTGTGTCCACTAGCCCATATCAAAGCCTACTCTCCGAGGCAAGCATGTCCACTAGCCTATATTAAAGACTAGTCCCAGTGGCAAGTGTGTCCACTAGCCCATATCAAAGCCTACTCTCCAAGGCAAGTGTGTCCACGAGCCTATATCAAAGCCTAGTCCCCTTGGCAAGTGTGTCCACGAGCCTATTTCAAAGCCTACTCCCCTTGGCAAGTGTGTCCACTAGCCTAGATCAAAGCCTAGTCCCCTTGGCAAGTGTGTCCACAAGCCTAGATCAAACCCTAATCCCCTTGGCAAGTGTGTCCACTAGTCTATATCAAAGCCTAGTCCCCTTGGCAAGTGTGTCCACTAGCCTATATCAAAGCCTAGTCCCCTTGGCAAGTGTGTCCCCTAGCCTATATCAAAGCCTAGTCCCCTTGGCAAGTGTGTCCCCTAGCCTATATCAAAGCCTAGTCCCCTTGGCAAGTGTGTCCACAAGCCTATATCAAAGCCTAGTCCCCTTGGCAAGTGTGTCCACAAGCCTATATCAAAGCCTAGTTTCTACCCTTGCCACATCAAGGCCACTTTTCTTGTCTCGACCCTGGTGCCACCTCGCCTAGATCAGGTAATGAAAATGCAATATCCAATCCAATCTGATCCCTGTTCTTATCACGTATAGCTTCACAAACATGACGACCTAGTCGATCAGATAGCGTAAGCATTCGCTATTTCATCTCTGACACAAAAACATAGGCAATTTTTGGGAGGTTTAAAAAATGTAAAAGATGTGTCAATAAAGACAGGCAGTGGAAATACACTTTCATACGAAGGTGTACCAATCACCTTCTCTGATTGGACTATCGATATATGTGACAGTCCAATCATATTTAGCACAGGAAAGTGGGCTTAATGTGGCAAGGGTGGAAACAAAACTTTGATAAAAGTGCTTGTGAATGCTCTTGTTACGGGAAGATGTGTTATGATGAGTTGAAGAACCCAAAACAGAGCTGACCTGCATCCAACAACATTATCACCATGGTAACCTGGACATGTTATACAGAGAATCTCACCCTGGAGCCTTTGTTTAAGAAATATAGCTTGCTCTCTTCTCTTCTCCTTTTTATAGGAAACGACAGAAAATATATTTTATATCGATCGTCATCAGTATTGAAAGATATGCAACTTGACTTGATTACTCTCATAACAACATCTGCTAAAATATCTTTAAACCAAGTGAAAATTGTATCCGGTCAACACAAACAAGAAGATGAAAGGGGAAGATGCATTAAGAACAATAACAAATGTGGACTATAACTTTAAAATTTGTATTGATCCATGCTAGTGACAAAAAATTGCCCTTTGAACTGATCCACGAAAATATTTGGCCCCCAAATCGTAAAAAAAGATGTTTATCAAATTCCAAATTATTTTTCTAATGGGTTGAATAATCATCTGTGAAGAGTTACCTCCCTTAGCATTGCCAGGATCACGGTCAGTCTTTGGTTTGAAACCCCGATTTTCCCTGATTATGATCCTTGGTCTGTCAGCACCATACCCTTGTTCATACTGTTAAAATCAACATCATCAGACACCATTGATTCACTAAAACAAAACAAACGGGCATATACAAACCTGGCTGTGCTATGGCAGTAAAAATTCACCTTCATGTATTTAAAGGAATTAATTTCAAAAGAAATGTCATCAAATGGCAGTATTACTGACTCTATGACTACACAGATTGATAAACAGGTTATTCTGCTCATGTAGCAGAAACTGCACTGCTATAGATATAGGCACAATGACAGAATTGAGTGATTACATGTCTGCCTGAAATATTACTAGCTGGGGAATAATTACGTTTTAATGAGCACACAGAATTTTTCACACTGATCCTTGTTCAGGGCCTAACTGGTATCACATTCTGTCCCTGATTATGGATTAATCATCAGGGTGGTCTGAAAGTTGGAACCGAAATGCGGTGAACTGAAACAATCTTTCTCGACCTTTTTCCAATATGTCAGTTGTAAAATTATCTTCAATGGGCACTGCACACAGATTATTTTGATAACTCAAGTCATTTTATCATTCAAATGAGAATTGTCTTTTTTCAATGATTATTTTGCTTACTGACATACTTTGTAATTAGTGAAAGGTTCAGAGGATGGATAAAATATCAATTCTCTTCAATATTTATGAAACTTAAGTCAGTATATCGGTATTCCAAATTGTCAAAAAGTACCCACTAAAATATTTGATACCGTTTTCTTTACAACAGAGGTTGGCCCTGAGGAACCGTGTGATGGCAACATGCCGCTGGTGAACGAGGCAACAGGGGCAGACTACGACTGCAGCAGCGGGCGTGACAAGTGCCCCGCAGGCAGCTACTGCCATCAGAGTCTCACCTTCTCTAAGTGTTGTGGAGAAGGTATGGCAGCCATTTTGTTTTTTCTTGCTTCTCTGTTTGCAATGGAACTCAGTTTGATTAAAATCAGTTTGCTCTGATTCAAAACCTGTCTCAGTCAAATTCTGACAAATCTTCAACAGGAGGTCACATCAGGTGAACTTTCTGATCAACCAATCAGTGTGGAGAAGTTTATATTCCCGGTATGAGTGAGTGAAGCGTTCTTTTAGAAAACTGACATCTGATTGGCTTAAAAACAAACATGTATTGTCATTTCAATCTCATTTGAATCAGATCATATACTCCGATACAATACCTCGCTGTATGAATATCTGAAGACACCCACACAGAAGGTCGCATCAGGTGAACCCAAATCAAACCTTGATCGCCCAATCTAAATGAAGAATGCATGTGCTCGACGAAGCAGATGTCAGCTTCATTTCTTTACCACCTTGATTTGGAAATCAATCTTTGGAAAAATAAAAATGCCATGGCACTCAGAAACAACAGATCCACAAAAGTATAACCGCATAGATTAATTTCTTGCCTTCATATTATATAATCGTTTTCAAGATACAGAAATCAGATATACTTGCCTGAACGCTTCAAACACTTGTACCAAGAATTTAGAACCGTCAATGCTGATTGGCTGATTAGAAAGTTCACCTGGTGCAACCTCCTGTTGAGATGTCTGCAGTCTTCATGCAGAGAGGTGTTGGATCGCAGAAAAAGATCTGATTTTACTGTGATTGATTTCTTTTGCATCCAATATGACAACTACTCCTTCAGCATTATCATGATGATGCCTGAGATGAGAATATTTCGTTATCATATATCCTAGGTTTTCGGACATCATACATTTTCGGACGGCCATGTTTATCACGATTACTCGTGCTATAACAAGGGGTGTGGCGTCACACAGACATTGTAGATACTCAGATGATGACCTGTTTTTAAGATAAAGTCATCTTTTATAAGTGAGTGAGATGTTGTTATTGTGATTAGCGAGAAAAACTATGAATGTTTCTTGAGCATCCGAAAGCCCATAACACAGGGATATAGGCAAACTGACTGTTTCGTTATGTGTTTTGTTGTATTCAAGATGATGCATAACTTAAGGATCACAGGAGGCGTCTGCTTGAAGTTGGTTTACTCCGGAAGTCAGTACATGAAGTGACGTGATGTCCCGTTGACATATTTGGGGACGTGATGCACAAGATGAATATTACATATCGTAACACTGACAATGTCAACCACTGTAACCCCAGTGTCCAGGTTCAATGCTCACACAACTTATTCCTGGTATGCTTGTTTCTGACATGACAACACCTTGATTTTCTCCAAGTAGAGTAATGGCACCAAGAAAAAAATCAGCTATTCACTCAATCATGCACTCATATTTGAAAAATAAATATTTGATTGTTTTGTCTGTTAATTTATAATTAGTGTAAGAATCCTTTTATTTTTCAGAAATAGTTATATCTCAATGCTCGGACACCCAATATGGCTGTTGTGCGGATGATTTGACTCCTTCCCCTGGCTTCAGAAATAGTGGTTGCCCAGGTAATGTACTCAGCCAGGGAGCAGTTATTGTTCACCTAGGGAGCAGTTATTGTGTACAAACTGTATAGTATCATATTTAAACACTGTAATAAGATAACAAGCCAGTCTCACTGAAAAATATACAGATTTATGAACAGGACTATTCATATCGGAATAGAAATCATTGAAATGTACAGAATTCAAGGTACCATTTATGGTTTTTAACTTTTAAAGAAAGCTTAAAGTTTCCAAACTTTGATCATCCTATGAATATGTTGTGAATAAAATACTTGAAGGAACCTTGAAATAATTTGTGGCGATCTGGTTTTAAATTAATTCATGATACTTGAATGAAATAATCTTCATGATAGCAGGAAGCCCCCAAATCCCATGTTTTATCAAATTATATATGTTCAAAATTAAATAATATTGTTGCAGAGTACAATTGTGACCAACCATGAGATAAGGAACCCTATGGGTGAAAAATCACATTTTGACTTTTCATTATATTTTAAACTGCAGCATCTTCGGAACACAAAAATACAATTCACAAGCTTCAATTCATATTTATTATATGACATCAAACATATCAATCTTCACTGAAGTAAGCCGACGTCAAAGGTCTTTATGATGTCATAGCACAAGTGTATCAAAGCAACCATAAGGTCCCTTTTCTTCTGGTGGGTCACAATTTATGAATTTGATATGTTGAAAGTATGATGAAATATGACTGATGAAACACTTATTCAGGTTTATCATTGATATATCTATATGTGCCACTGCCAGGGTTTATAGTTACTTAGTAATATGTATAGAGGGGCAGAGTATGTCCGCAGTACTTCATTGTGCATATGGGGGCACGTGTTGCCCAGTCACCTAAGGCGCCGCGATTCGCAGTGCAGTGTTGTGTCCCTTGGGCACGCCAGAAACCTATGATTGCGGGTTCGAATCCCGGTTCGCCCTGATTATGTTTCTAGGTTTGTCAGCACCATACCCGTGCTCGTTGGTTTCACCGAAGTGGTAAACATCTGAGACCTACATCACTTCGGGCTTTCCTCCCAGATTAAGCTGACACGCCGTGATATAACTGGAATAATATTAAAAGCGGCATTAAACCCAACTCACTCACTCACTCATTGTGCATATAATTTGTAATAATATTCATTTTACAGTGAAATCTTCATAATTCAAGTGCTACAAGAGTTACTTCCCTTGTATTACAAATGGCTCAATCCCATGATCTCTTTGCCCAATGATGTATGATATATAAAAAATAGCTGCCTGCCAATGTGTCATGGATATTTGTTTTGATACATTATGTAATTTTATTTCTATTTCTGTGTTTCCTCTGTGTTGACTTTTTTTATTTGAGCAATACCAGTGTTCTTGATTTTGTAAAAAATATAAAACTAAGATATAACAAACAATTTAACTGCAAACAGATTTCAGTCTATCAGAGTAACCACTTAATATTTAATACAGTTTTAACATTTATCATGTTAATGATATTCATGAAATTGCCTTTCCTTCTATGAAATTAAGAAACATTTACTTTCTTATGTTTCATGATCATATATTAAATCCTTGACGAAAATGATATTCTTAAAAACTATTAACCAGTATTTACTTTTTTTCCAAATTTTCATGGTTGTTATAATAACTCCTGGCTGCGTGATAATATTGATATGAATAAACCCAGGCTTTGTATGTGACAAGCGTCCTCTGTGTTTCCTAGAATACTGCCATTGTAACAATATGGGCTCGTACAAGACCACCTGCGACCCTGTCACGCGTCAGTGCAGCTGCAAGCCAGGGGTCGGGGGTTTGCGCTGTGACCGGTGCCTGCCTGGCTACTGGGGGATGCAACTCATAGAAGAAAAAGGAAACGTTGGCTGTATACGTAAGTCTTTGTTGAAACTGTGGATACTTGTTCTTTAAGGAATTAGCGCTGTAGTAATAATGCCAATGTATGCTACTCAAATGAAGTTAAGGACCACCAAATTCCTTCATATTACTGTAGATAATCTTTCATAGTGTAGCAGGGCGTGGAGTCATTGCTGACCTTGCTGACTGGGTTAACCTCTTTGGTCATGTGGACAAGGCATCCGACCTTGGATCAGAAGGTCTGTGGTTCGAATCCAATCACGGGACTCGGAAATTTTATGGCCGCGACATTGGCGCCCAACGTGGGGCTGAGCACGTTCATATTAAATTTGAGCAAAATAAGCCTACTACCCTACTATGCGGCTCGGGACATGCCTTCTGTTGACGGGGGAGTATGTGGCAGGGCGTGGAGTCATCCCACAGATGACATCCTTACCTTGTCAGCTTGCTGACGGGGTTAACCTCTTTGGTCATGTGGACAAGGCGTCCGACCTCTGATCAGAAGGTCCGTGGTTCGAATCCCATCACGGGACTTGGAAATTTTATGGCCGCTACAATACCATGACAGATTAACAATAGTCATAAAATAAGGTGTTCCTTGACTTCTATTGAATAGTATAAGATTTCTGTTTGATTTGAACAGCATTGATGTGAGGTTGAAGATTATTTGACTTATATAACATATTGGTGTGTTGTTTGTACTTGTCCAGACTCACCAGTGAAGATCCGGGGTAGAATAGGTCTTCAGCAACCCATGCTTGCTGTAAAAGACAACTCATTATGCTTGTCGTAAGAGCGGGTGGTCAGACTCGCTGACTTAGTTGATGCATGTCATCGTATCCCATTAGGGGCGGTCGGGTAGCCTAGTGGTTAAAGTGTTCGCTCATTACGCCGCAGACCCGGGTTCGATTCCCGACATGGGTACAATGTGTGAAGCCCATTTCTGGTGTCCCCCGCCGTGATATTGCTGGAATATTGCTAAAAGCGGCGTAAAACCATACTTACTCACTACTCACTCGTATCCCATTGCATGGATCGATGCTCATGATATCATTCAATTATTTACAGACCGACGTCATATAGCCTGAATATTGCCAAGTGCGTTAAACAACAAACAAACAAACTTCTCCAGACTAATGCCAGTTTTATAGTGCTCGCCCATTTGCAGTTTAGCTCGGACACAGACACATGATACAGAGTTTTAAAGCTTTCTGAAGACATCTATGTTTGATTCCCTGCGTGGGTGAAATGCTCGAAGCGGCATAAAATACAACTCCCTTACTCCGAGCTGACCAGTTCCATATTTTATCATATTTTGGTATGATGTGCCCAGAGGATTGAACACTGACCTTCCTCTCTCCGGGGGCAGCTCTATCCACTACACCATAGAGGCAGTGAATTGCCTTGAAAGGGATTCAGGGACAGGTGGCCTTGTGGCTAATGTGCCAGCTCCTGAAACTAAAGTCCTGGGTTCAATTCTTCACATGGTTACAATATGTGAAGCCCAAGCATGATAACCAATGCTGGGATATTGTTGGAATGTTGCTGAAACAGCAGAAAACCATTCAGTGGGATAGCCAAGTGTCAACTTATTCCACTAAAGACCTGGGTTTGATTCCCTTTGTGGATATAATGACTTCTGTCATGATGTTGCTGGAATATTGCTGAAACAGCATCAAACCATACAGTGGGAAAGCCATTCACAGCTTCTTGGAGAGTTGCAACTCAAGTTGCCAGTAAGGCGACAGAGTAGATAAGAGGAACAAGAATGTTGGATCTTCACACTGTTAAAACTTGAGTTCGATTCCCTACCTGGATATGTGAAACTAATTCTTTGTGGCTCTGCCGTGATATGACTTAACTAAGAGCAGAATGTTAATGTTCTCCTATTTCCTACACACATGCACCCTGTTTTTGTCCCATCCCTCCAGCCTGCAACTGCAACATGCGCGGTGCTGTTCGTGAGGACTGTGTCCAGATGAGCGGCCGGTGCATGTGTCGACCCAACATCAGCGGCATGAAGTGCAACCTCTGTCTGGACAAGAAGTTGCTTGGGCCCCTTGGTTGCATAGGTAGGGACGTATTCATTTTGATTGTAATGTTCATTCTATAAGACTTTCCAAATTATAAACATGACAAAATTCAATTTTGACATCCGATCATCAATAGCCTCTTGGTTACAATTTTATATTCATTAATGTAAGGTCCAAATCGGTTTTTTATGTTGGTGTTTGTAGATCACTTGATTGTGATGGTGGTTACGGTGCTGCTGGTAGTGACATTGGTAAATCTGAAAGGATACTTAGACTACTGTATTCACCGTATTATGGGCTCTGCTCAAATAAGTGCCTCCTGACCAATATCCATACAAATTTGTAATCTTAATAAGTGCCCCCAAGACCAAACATTTACCCGACACCCATATTTACTTGTGTTTATTACTCAGTACAGTTATAAATGTCAACACCAGTGTGCACACTTGGCATAAATACATTTCTTTTGTCAATTCTTAAACATTCTTTGTGTCAACTGCTGTGATATAATAACTGGAATAGACCTGTGAAGATCTGGGCTAGAATAGGTCTCCAGCAACCCATGCTTGCCGTAAAAGGCAACTATGCTTGTCGTAAAAGGCGACTATCGGGTTTGGGTGGTCAGGCTTGCTGACTTGGTTGATGCATGTCATCAATCCCAGTTGCGTGGAGCGATGTCCATGATGTAAATCACTGGATTGTCTGGTCCAGACTCTATAGACCTCCGTCATATAGCTGGAATATTGCTGAGTCCGACGTTAAACAACAAACAAACAAACAAACAAACAAACAAACAAGCAAACAAACAAACAAACAAACATAAAAATAACTGGAATAATGCAAGTAGTACAGCAAAACTTACTCACACACTTCCTTGAGAGGCATTTAGAAGTTGGAGTTCTAAATAAGGATAAGATATATGGAGGAACAACTTCCTTATTACAATTAGGAGCAACATTTCGGTGTAGGTTCTAACACTACTTGTTTGCTTGACAACGGTGTCAGAACGTACACCGAAATGCCGCTCCTAATTAAAATAAAGAAGTTGTTCATCCATGTATCTTATTCTCACTTGGAACTCACACGCTGTCTCTCAACGACCCAAATCTAACACGTTCTTCTTGAAGATAAATTAAGCGCATCTTCCCGAGGCAAGTGAGTTAACTGACTATAAAAGTCCAGTTTCCACCCTTGCCAAACTAGGCTGGTATTATGGAGTTGGACTAACGAGTTTATGCATAGTCCAATCAAAACCGCGCACCAAAATCAAAATCCGGTTCGTAAAGTGTCATGCAGATTTCGGTCGACTGCAGGATTTGCAAAGCATGTGCACTGCTAACTCGTCAACAGATATTTTCTAAATCTTTTCATGTTTTTAATCAAGGTGCTCACGTGATTTGATGCGCTTCGCAGTGTAAGACTCGTTTTATCACAATATAGATCTTGATTATCGATCAGATCATCTTAACTGGGCGCCACCGTTTTGTTTGAAGCAAATGCAAGTGATGCGAGAGATTTAATCTGATTGGTCAATAGGAGAGGCATAGAAAGGACATAACTCGTAATAGCCACTGGTGGCGCTACAATCCAGCACAGGAATTCCAGCCTAGTTCGGCAAGGGTGGAAACTGGACTTTTAAAGTCAGTTAACTCTCTTGCCTGGGGAAGATAAATTAAGCGTGAAGGAGAGTGTGATGGTTTGGTATCTGGTGTTTCAGCACAAACGCCCCCCAGATCATGTGCGGAACTGGACTGCCAATTTGGCTCCATATGCAAGGAGAAGAACGGTGAACTCTTCTGTGACTGCAGCCATTTCTGTTCCGGTTATGATGACGAGATTGGGAAGAGTGTCTGTGGCAGTGATGGCAATAATTTCCCCTCAGAGTGTCAGCTGCGCCAGTTCGGATGTCAGATGCAGCAGGAAATTCACATCCAGTATTACGGCCATTGTCGAGGTAAGTAAAAGTCCATACAATCAAAGCTTTCAACTATTCCTGGTCAGTATAGCCAGTTCCCTTGTTCCCGAAGCTGGTCATGTGAGCAGACTAATGAGAATCGGGTGGTTACAATGTATACAGTGTACTGACTTCGAACCGAAAAGGCCCTTGTTGTATCTCTTTAATGCTGAGCGCCAGGCAGGGTAACAACAAGTACTATCTTTTAACATCTTTTGGTATGATATGGCCAGGTTAGTAAATAACCGACCTGTCCACTAGACAATGGAGGCAGTATGCATCGGCATTAAGTGACCTGGTGACCCGTTAAGCAATTTCAGATGTGTTAATACTTGTCGTAACAATATATAAATTGATTGCAATGGGTGCAAAAGCTAGTAGAATGGATTAAAACTGTTATAACATTTTTCCAGCAGCCCCATCTATAAGGACAACAACGCCAATGCCGTCAACAACACGATCTCGTAAAACAACTCGTCACATCACGGGACCGATACCACCAGATGTGGAGGATGTGGACACTGCAGGGACAGACCAGCCCTCCATCCCTGAAGTGGAGACAGCTTGTGGTGAGTCAGGCCACATGCTTCTGGGAGTACCTCGAAGTGGCATTTTAGAACATGAAGTATCTATGACAATCTCATTAAAATCAGATCTAAGTTCTTGCTGCCGCTAAACAAAGATCTGAGGACATCCCATTATGGGTCATGTCAGAACCACCTTTCGCTGACTTTGACCGACCACTAAAACAAGTAACATAGCTGGCATCAGCCAATTAGAAAGCAGCTTTCTCAAGCTTTACGGCACTCATTTCAACCTGGCGACTTCCATTTTAGACTTGAAAAATATGTTGACGCAGTTCTCATTTAAAATTTTGAAAACTGAACAAACGAACAATTCAGAATGTCTAATATATGGTTGCGATTGTATGGCAGTGCTTCCCACATACTGTGCAACACCTCCTCCATTCAAATGTTTATCCCACGGAAGCAAGAGATAGACGATAATTTTGACGGAATCAGTCGTCGGAATACCCTGTGTTAACTTTTTCGAGGTTGCATGATTAGGAATCACATTCCGTTTGTCACGTTCATGATCTGGTAAGCGACGCTTTGATTGGTCGGATGAAAGGTCGTTCTGACGTGACCCGTAATGGGATGGCCTCAGATCTTTGTTTTGCGATGGCGAGAACTAAGATCTGATTTTAATGAGATTGTATCTATGAAGACAACTTGCTTGATGAGGATACTTGCATCTGTAGAAAAACTTGCAATGACAGAATAACGAAGTATTAATGTTTGGGAAGATCTTTTTCTGTACCATTGAAGTACATACTCAAGGTACATTTGGAAGTCATTATAGTCTCTACTATTCAAGTACCCACTTAAAGCAAAATTTGGAGGGATCATAATACTTTCTCAATCATTCAAGTACCCACTTAATGAACATTTAGGGTTGTCATTACTATATTCTGTAGCATTCAATATCAAAATGTACATTTAGAGGGGTGGTAGGGTAGCCAAGTGGTAAAGGTGTTCGCTTGTCAAGCCAAAGCCCCTGGTTTGATTCCCGACATGGGTACAATGTGTGAAGCCCATTTCTAGTGTCCCCTGCTGTGATATTGCTGTAATATTGCTAAAAACAGCATAAAACCATACTCCTTGCTCACTCATGTACATTTAGTGGGGATCATAATAATTTCTCAACAGTTCAAAATCCCTCTTTTTGTACAATCCTAAGTCCTTGTTTTGAGCTAAGACTGCAGTGAAAGGAATGTCTTAAACTTTGGTTGAACTGCATTGTGTGTTCACAGTAATGTGTAATGTGTAATATTTAGCTGCAATACCAGTTGATGTAGACGGTGGAGTAGGCCTAGAATTAGTTCATCACACCAAAGACCAGGTTCAATTCCCACATGTGTTTAGTCCACGTCTGGAAGATTGCTCCAAGCAACAACCATGCTCAGTCTCTCACTGAAACTGAAGTTGTCCATTCTCTGCTTGACACTCACAGGCCTGATGGGCAAGATCGATGACCTGTGTCTTGAAGACTCGAACTGCTGTGTGAACAACAGCCGCTGTCGACTTGGACTCTGCACCTGTTTCCAGGGTTACGTCCCTTCCATCGACAACAGACAGTGCATAGGTTGGTTCTCTTCATTAAATGTTTTTATTGTTCACAGCATCGTGAAACAAATCACTTCCTATATTTTTGCACACATACAAATGTATCCTTCAAGGTAAAGTGCATGTTGATAATTGGGCCATCTCTTTGACTTTTCAGAAGTATTTCGAACCGACTCTATCAAAACGGAAGATATCGACAATGCGTGCATGCACTCTCCATGTGAGAACGGTGGAGAGTGTGAACTTGACGACTCTCTTGGCTACCGCTGTGTCTGTCCTCTGGGCAAGACAGGACCACTGTGCAAAGAGGGTATGTGTGATGATGATGATGATGATGATGATGATGATGATGATGAGTGAGTGAGTTGGGTTTAACGCGCTTTTAACAGTATTCCAGTTATATTGTGGTGTGTCAGCTTAATGTTGGAGGAAAGCCTGAAGTGATGCAGGTCTCAGACGTTTACCACTTCGGTGAAACCCACGAGCACGGGTATGATGCTGACAAACCTAGAAACATAATCGGGGCGAACCGGGATTCGAACCTACATTGATTAAGATGATGATGATGATGATGATGATTATGATGATGATGATCCTGGAAGTTCATTGTTTCTTCTTTTTGTATTTTATTTCAGACAATGCATTTAGTGTGCCATCATTCAGTGGCAAGTCCTATCTGAAGGTGCCACGGATTCGCAAGGCCAACAAGAATCTTAACATCGAGGTGGTGTTCCAGACTCTCAACAAAGATGGCATCCTTCTCTTTAACTCTCAGATTAAGAATGGTTCCGGAGACTTCATCTCTCTGGCCATCAAGGATGGATTTGTGGAATTCAGGTGAGCATTATACTCTTATCCAGAGAGTGACGAGGGGAAGGCATTATACCTTTGTGCAGCATATGCACCATCGTAATAATCCCAATACCAGGTGTAAAGATAACAACAGGAAGGACTTACTCATGTTTTGTTGACCAAATTAGCACAAATACCAAATGGAGAATCTCACCCTTGTGTCTCTTGACATCAGATATTTCACATGAGTTGATAAAAGATAAAAACTTTGAGGCTGACTGAAGGGTTTTAAAATTTTAGCAATGAGTGTTGATGTGCATGATATCAAAGGACCCAAGGGTGAGATTATGTTGTTCATCCAAAATCACTCTTCAGCTTTGGGAGTTTGTAAACAGCAATAACCAGTGTCTTAGGTGTAAGAAGTACAGTTAAGCAGCTTCAGTGGCAGGGAGTGTGATCTCATTTGATTGGGACATCCTGCTTAACATTTTACAGTCAATTTGTGTAAATAAAAATGTCAAATGTAATAACTTAATAGACTGTTTTTTCTCTTTAACACTTAAGAAATGTGGGCAAAAATGAGTGACATCATTCAGTGCTATAATGCAACACAAGCCCCACCCATTCTGTTATTGGGGCAGTCGGGTAGCCTTGTGGTTAAAGCGTTCGCTCATCACGCTGAAGACCTGGGTTCGATTCCCGACATGGGTATAATGTGTGAAGCCTATTTCTGGTGTCCCCTGCATTGATATTGTTGGAATATTGCTAAAAGCTACGTAAAACCATACTCACTCACTCACTCAGACCTACTATGATATTGCTGAAATATTGTTGAAAGCAGCTCACTCACTCACTCACTCACTCACTCACTCACTCACTCACTCACTCACTCACTCACTCACTCACTCACTCACTCACTCACTTTTGTGCACATGGCCTAATTTCTGTTTTTGTTCCTGGAAACATAAATGCAAAACAAATTGTTTAGTTAGCCAATCAAATGCCATGGAATCACCTGCAACTGGTTTATTCAGTAATAATTTCAGCAATGCAGAAGTGTTTAAGGCAAGAGCCTATCTAAGGGTCTGAAATGATCGATTATCAAATGTTGACTTCAACATTCCAGATACAATCTTGGGGGCGGTGAATCAACCATTCGCAGTAAGACACTTGTGACGCTGAAGAAGTCTCATCGTGTGGTGATCAAACGGAGAGGAGAGAATGGCATCCTCATCATGGACAACGAAGACCCTGTCTCAGGCGCCAGCGACCACACCCACACGTCACTCAACCTGGGAGATCCACTCTTCGTTGGCTATGTGCCAAATGCTTTACCAGAGTATGTGGGCTATACCTGTTTAGGGAGATCAAAGTTTTTTATAAGTTGGCTGCTGGAACAACAATAGGGAACTTATGGGAAGATTTATGGAGGTTCCAGGGAAGATGGGGAAGATGTTGGAGGTTCAAGGGAAGATGGGGAAGATGTTGGGGGTTCCAGGGAAGATGGGGAAGATGTTGGAGGTTCCAGGGAGGATGGGGAAGATGTTGGGGGTTCCAGGGAAGATGTTAGGGGTTCCAGGGAAGATGGGGAAGATGTTGGAGGTTCCAGGGAGGATGGGGAAGATGTTGGGGGTTCCAGGGAAGATGGGGAAGATGTTGGGGGTTTTGGGGAAGATGTTGGGGGTTCCAGGGAAGATGGGGAAGATGTTGGGGGTTCCAGGTAAGATGGGGAAGATGTTGGGGGTTCCAGGGAAGATGGGGAAGATGTTGGGGGTTCCAGGGAAGATGTTGGGGGTTCCAGGGAAGATGGGGAATATGTTGGAGGTTCCAGGGAAGATGGGGAAGATGTTGGAGGTTCCAGGGAAGATGGGGAAGATGTTGGAGGTTCCAGGGAGGATGGGGAAGATGTTGGAGGTTCCAGGGAAGATGGGGAAGATGTTGGAGGTTCCAGGGAAGATGGGGAAGATGTTGGGGGTTCCAGGGAAGATGGGGAAGATGTTGGGAGGTTCCAGGGACGATGGGGAAGATGTTGGAGGTTCCAGGGAAGATGGGGAAGATGTTGGAGGTTCCAGGGAGGATGGGGAAGATGTTGGGGGTTCCAAGGAAGATGGGGAAGATGTTGGAGGTTCCAGGGAGGATGGGGAAGATGTTGGAGGTTCCAGGGAAGATGAGGAAGATGTTGGAGGTTCCAGGGAAGATGGGGAAGATGTTGGAGGTTCCAGGGAAGATGTTGGAGGTTCCAGTGCTGTGTATAGCAGCAGCACATGTTATCACAGTTGTATTGAACATTAAACAGCTGGAACGTTGTTGCCTAATTACCCACCAATATCATTTAAATCAGATCTTTTACCCAAAAGCCCTTCACCAGAGGTTGTGTTAGATGAACCCTTCTAAATGAAGGATGCATGGATTCTTGAACTATTCAGATGTAAAATTTGTAAACACAATCTGCTTCTTCATTTTGTAACAACCTAAATTTGAAAATTTCTATCACAACAAATTATAAAAATACAGAGAACACAATTATTCCTTCAATGTTTTGGGTGTAGAAGACGTGGCATTCTGAACTGATAAGGTTTATAAAATATCCACAATATTATGGTGAAGCCTTTATTATTTCAATTTGGAACTGCCTGTTGGAGTAGTGATTGGAAGAAGGTGCATCAAGGTGCTTGTTCAGCTACTGTATATATTTGTTTGCAGTGTGTACAAGCGTATCGGCGTGAGCCTGGGGCTGGTCGGCTGTATTCACGTGCTGAAGGCCGGAAACGAGGGCAACCTTAGAGACTACAACTTGGAATACCCAAACAGGAATACTGACATTGCCGATGGCGCCGATATTGGTAAACTGAACATACTTGTGTAATTTCCAGTTATATAGTGACTTTGGTAGCCAAATAGTCTGAGGCACCGATATCAGTAATGTTCAACAGACCATTAGGTTTTCCCTAACGCTCCACAGGAGGCCATCTGGTATAGGCGCCAGACTTAAAATACAGACTACTAGACTTCCCCAATATTCTATCTTCTCTTGAGAGAACAAGTGGACATGTGACATAAGGCACCAATATAAGTAATACTACACAGACGAGCAAGTTTCCCCTAGTAGTGTATTCACTTCTTGGAGTACCAGCTACAATGTGGATTGGATGATCACAACATTTGGGTTGGCTGATAATATGTCATTGTACCCAAACTTGATCTTTGCTCATGTCTGTGTCAGGAGGGGTAGAGCCGGGTTCGATTCCCCACATGGGTACAATGTGTGAAGCCTATTTCTCGTGTCCCCTGTCGTTATATTGCAGAAATATTGCTAAAGGCAGCATAAAACCATACTCACTCGATCACTGTGCCCGAACTTGATCTTTGTCATTCTGCCAACCTGGAGCGGTGGGGTGGCCTAGTGGTTAAAGCGTTGGCTCATCACACCAGAGACCCGGGTTCGATTCCCCACATGGGTACAATGTGTGAAGCCTATTTCTGGTGTCCCCTTTGTAATATTGCTGAAATATTGCTGAAATATTGCTAAAAGCGGCGTAAAACCATACTCACTCACTCGCTCACTGTACCCTAACTTGATCTTCGTCATTCTGCCAACCTGTATTGATGGTGAATGATTGTTTGCAAGTTGATTTGGCTTCAGTATTGCTGAATATAAAACAGCACTTCTCATTATCACTCTTGATAATGTTTTAGCTTCAAAATGAAATTTTAGGGCACCAAGTACTCACTAACACCCCTAATCTCCTGGGACAGGTAGCTCGGGTACTCGGGTCAGGTGGGTACTGAGTAGGACCCAGGTATCCACAGAAGTACCTGGACCTGTGGTTTGTCACATGATGTATTGTTTTCTGACCAAACTTATCTTGAACTCTATGGTTACACTACAAGTCACTAATGTTCGCATAATTTTCTGATTATTCACATTCTTTCTGACTTTATATGTTTGAATAAAGATAAAACTTCAGTCAACTTCAGGGTGTGCATGACCAGAACGTTTTATATGTGTATCTAAATACATTTCGCCAGGGCTATTGTCAAACTATTCCCAATCGGACTTTTATAGCTATCTCTTGAGACCTACAGCGGGTCCCTGGGTAGGGTAGAGTAATAGGGGTTGGGTAATAAATTTGGACTCGTCCCAGCCCTTATCTCCTGAGTGTTAGGGGCAGTCGGGTAGCCTCGTGGTTAAAGCGTTCGCTCGTCACGCCGAAGACCCAGGTTCGATTCCCGACATGGGTACAATGTGTGAAGCCCATTTCTGGTGTCCCCAGAAGTGATTTTGCTGGAATATTGCTAAAAGCGAAGTAAAACCATACTCACTCACTCCTGAGTGTTAACCTTCTGTTGTGTGTTTGGTGCAGGTGAATGTGGCAACAACCCCTGCAAGTCCATGCCATGTCTGAATGAAGGAGCCTGTATGATGCAAGACCAGAGGAACTACCAATGCCTGTGTAGAGAGGGCTTCACAGGTGAGATCAGCCTCGGGGCTTCGGAGCGGGAAACATTGGAAATTATCTACAGAAACAAATTACCCTTGATGTCATATTAGTTCACGTGTGTGTTGAAATGTCATTGTCATAAATATACCACAATATCTATCTATGTTCTAGGGCTTCTGTGTGAAATCCTGGTCGACCCCTGCGCGAGCCAGCCATGCCAGTATGGAGGAACATGTATAACGATGGGTAACGATGTTGGCTACGAATGTCTGTGCACTGAGGGAAGGTCAGGAACCAGGTGTGAAAAAGGTAGGTCAAGGTCAAAGTCAAGGTCAGACCTGAGGTTGTTCTGTTCAACTGGGGATGCCAATTATAAAATTTGTGCACTGTTATTTACAGCACACTTCTACATCTCCAACTGGCTACAAATCATGAAATATTTTGATAATTGTAAACCTTTATCTCACTTTTCTAAAGGGGCGGTTGGGTAGCCTAGTGGTTACAGCGTTCGCTCGTCACGCCAAAGACTCGGGTTCGATTCCTGACATGGGTACAATGTGTGAAGCCCATTTCTTGTGTCCCCTGCCGTGATATTGCTGGAATATTGCTAAAAGTGGCGTAAAACCATACTCGCTCACTCACTCACTTTTCTAAAAGAACATACAGGGGTTTTTTTTCATAGAAATCAACACTGGAAACCTGTCATGGTGTTGTGGAGGTGGCCATTTTGTTTTCATTGAGTTGATAAAACAGTATTAGTGTCAGTGTTGTTTGAAGTTTGACGAGAAATGTTTGTTTCTATATTTTCCAGAATCGCTGAAACGTGTGTTTGTACCACAGTTTGCTGGAGACGCATACATGGAGCTCCCCCTAGAGGACAATGTGGGCAAACAGCTCACGATAGAAGTCTGGTTTAAGGCCTTCAAGCCAAATGGTACATTGCCAAATACATGTACTATGAGTCATTGGGTGAATGTTAGTTTATGGGAGTAATATCACAGGGCTTTTGGCTAATAGAGCTGACTAAATTGTGGATCTGTTGTCAATATGTATGACCTGATTATGAGTCATGATTTTCTGAACAGCTCGTATGCCTTGTCCTGACTTGATTATTCTCAGGCATTCATTGATATGGTTGAAAGGAAACACTTTTCTTCCTTTACAGATTTTTTACTGGAAAATACCTTTCGGTCTTTGAGAGAAAATAAAGAAAACAAGCCATTTAGATTAATGTTTTAGATTTCTCATCCTCTACATACTGACTGGTATGAAAAAGAGCTTCTTTACGTTTCTACATGAAAATCTTGTTTGTTTGTTAAACATTGATGCAAAATTATGAATAGTGAGTGGGTGCTTGTTTAGAATACGCTAAACTATGCTTATATCGAACTGGCGGATATAACGAACTGGTCATTTGGTCCCAGGTATTTGCTGTATATATGCTGTTTGTAGGTTTATAACCATCTTCCCGAGGCAAGAGAGTTAACAGACTTTAAAAGTCCAGTTTCCACCCTTGCCGAACTAGGCTGGAATTCCTAGGCTCGATCGGAGCGACACCAGTGGCTATTACGAGTTATGTGGCTTCTGTGCCTCTCCTATGAACCAATCAGATTCCACCTCTCGTATCACTTGAATTTGCGGCGCCCAGTCAAGACGATCTGATTGATAATGAAGATCTATATTGTGATAAAACGTGTCTTTCATCGTGAAATTCATCAAATCGTGTGAGCACTTTGATTAAAAACATGAAAAGATTTAGAAAATATCTGTTGACAAGGAGTTGGTGGTGCACATGCTTTGCAAATCCTGCAAACGACCGAAATCTGCATGACAGTTTACGAACCAGATTTTGCATTTATGTCCTAAGGAATCTGTTTCAGAAGATATTCGAGACTTATTATTCCCTGATGTTTTGAATTGATTGTCAGGCAGTGACTCCTCGGAGATTCAATCTCTCTTTTTTTTGTTTATTTACCATGTGTAGTTTAACCCCGGCATGTGTCTGATGTGTTGTAGGCATGATCCTGTTCGCGACCCAGTTCAATGGTGGCAAGGGTGACTTCATCTCCCTCAATATGGTGAAGAGGAAGCTGCAGTTTCGATTCTCCCTCGGAGACCGACCAGCGAAACTGGAGTAAGTATACTCAGACTCCACTTGTTTGGACAATCTTTGTTGACCCAACCTAGGTCATTTTGCATAATTATGATGCTTCATTCATAACACAATCTCATTAAAATCAGATCTTAGTTCTCGCTACCGCTAAACAAAGATAGGGGTCATGTCAGAATGACCTTTCATCCGACCAATCAGAGCGTCGCTTACCAGATCATGAAAGTGACAGTCGGAATGGGATTTTTAAATCTGCAATCTCAAAAACTTTAACATGGGGTATTCCAAACGATAGTTACAGGTTTAACGACTGAATCCATACAATCTAGACCATATATTTGCCATGTTCTTTTGTTCAGGTTTCAAATTTTTAATCGAGAATTTGTCAAAATATGTTTCGAAGCGTAGTTACCAATTTGAAATTAGTGCCGTAAAGCACGAGAAATCTGCCTTCTGATTGGCTAATGTCGACTTCTTGTCACTCCTTCCATTGGTTGGTCAAAGTCTGACGTGACCCGTAATGAGATGTCCTTGGATCTTTGTTTAGCGATAGCGAGAACTAAGATCTGATTTTAATGAGATTGTTCATAACAGGAAGTGGTGTAAAGCACATATTACATAGGTATCACAATTTATTTTTGGCAATTGTGCAATGATATAGTGTAAAAAATAGGGGATTTGCAGTTTGACAATCTTGTTTAATGAAACCAGCATCAATGTGTTAGAAGTTATCTGTCAACAATGTGGAACAAATATCAAGAAACAGTATGTGTAGAACAGATTGAATAGGTCAGCTGATGTGCGATAATACGATTATAAATCAACTACTGTAATAATATAGCATGCCTTGCTAGGAGAAGTGTATGGTGATAATTGTATATGGAATGCTTGGAGTTAAATTGTATGAAAGACTTTATGCAACAATATGAGGAAATAGACCTCGTATTTTCTGAAGAAATATAGAATTGTGTCTTATGGACCATGTGCCCGCTTTTGTTCTATTGCAAGAATGACATGGAAAGCTATAATTTTAACAGATGAAGGTTGTTATCGGTTAATATTTTCCAGGGTCACCGATGAAGGTCACTTTTTGTAAATATTTCCTTAGAGCACAGATGAAGGTCACTTTTTGTAAATATTTCCTTAGAGCACCGATGAAGGTCACTTTTTGTAAATATTTCCTTAGAGCACCGATGAAGGTCACTTTTTGTAAATATTTCCTTAGAACACCGATGAAGGTCACTTTTTGTAAATATTTCCTTAGAACACCGATGAAGGTCACTTTTTGTAAATATTTCCTTAAAGCACCGATGAAGGGCACTTTTTGTAAATATTTCCTTAAAGCACCGATGAAGGTCACTTTTTGTAAATATTTCCTTAGAGCACAGATGAAGGTCACTTTTTGTAAATATTTCCTTAGAGCACCGATGAAGGTCACTTTTTGTAAATATTTCCTTAGAGCACCGATGAAGGTCACTTTTTGTAAATATTTCCTTAGAGCACCGATGAAGGGCACTTTTTGTAAAAATTTCCTTAGAGCACAGATGAAGGTCACTTTTTGTAAATATTTCCTAGAGCACAGATGAAGGTCACTTTTTGTAAATATTTCCTTAGAGCACCGATGAAGGGCACTTTTTGTAAATATTTCCTTAGAGCACAGATGAAGGGCACTTTTTGTTAATATTTCCTTGGAGCACAGATGAAGGGCACTTTTTGTTAATATTTCCTTGGAGCACAGATGAAGGGCACTTTTTGTTAATATTTCCTTAGAGCACAGATGAAGGTCGCTTTTTGTAAAAATTTCCTTAGAGCACCGATGAAGGGCACTTTTTGTAAATATTTCCTTAGAGCACAGATGTAGGGCACTTTTTGTAAATATTTCCTTAGAGCACAGATGAAGGGCACTTTTTGTAAATATTTCCTTAGAGCACAGATGAAGGGCACTTTTTGTTAATATTTCCTTGGAGCACAGATGAAGGCCAGTTTTTGTTAATATTTCCTTGGAGCACAGATGAAGGGCACTTTTTGTTAATATTTCCTTGGAGCACAGATGAAGGCCAGTTTTTGTTAATAATTTCTTGGGGCACAGATTTTGATCATGGGTATTAAATTCTTGAACATGAAGTCCTGTATTAATATAATTGTATGATCACCCCTTTTCTTCAGAACCAGCAATCACATCCATCTCAACAAATGGCACCGAGTGGTGATTACGCGCCTGAATGAGAATGGCCAGATGACGCTGGACAAACGTCCGACTGTCAGGGGCAAAGCACCAGTATGTATTGTGCAGATTATACAAGAAATATTTCTTGCATGAATTTTAAAATATTATGACAATCTCTTTATCCTGTTTTGATCTGGATACAGTAAAGTTCAGATACAACAACCTCAGGAAGAGGGAATCCAGTGTGTTATTTACAGTGGGCCCTAAAAAAAGCTGTCAGAAATATACTACTCTAAAGAAATTAAGGAATAACCGATCAGGTGTTCTTTAACTTCTTTTGAGTAGTATGTAATTCGATTATTACATTCCTACTTTCGTTAGACCCTGATTTTCTGACATAATGACTTAACAATAAAAGAATCTGACCAAACTCAGATTATTTTTGGTACTTGTGTTTTATTGTCATGAAGAAAGAACGAAAAAAGAGTGTGTTATTGTTACAAATACACTTTGAGGTCTTTCTTTGACAAAAATGATTCAATGCTGATGAGGAGCCAACGCGCAAACACATCAACTACACGTGCAATGAAAGAGGCATTTGTATTTACATTTTGAGATGTGGTGAGTACAAAACTTAAGCGGAGATGTGTTATCATAATGGAATAATTCATGATGATCGGGGGTTTCAACTATTTGGCTGATCTTGTCTGTTGGAAATAATACATGGTTAGAACAATTGAGTGACGTCACAAGAAATATGTATGTTTTGATAAAAGTTCTTGTATCAGTTTGGGATGTAATAATCAGTTTTTTAAGTCTGTTTGAGAATATATGATAACAATTATTAATGATAATAATTAGTAATGTAGATCTGGGTGATACAATGAGGTTGTTGTATCTCTAAGTTTGTTGTATCTGTTATTTGTAATCATGTTACTGTAAAAATTTGAACGATGTAATTTCAGATAACTGTTGATTTCTATTCTAAATTTTGTCCATTTTAATTTCAGTCGAATTTTTCATGAAATTTTAATCATCTCAAAAAGAATCATTTAGAGTGATTATTATTATTATGTTTTGACATGAAATGATAAAGAGGTTATCATAATAATATGCTTTATGAATTAATGAACATTTTCAGGTGTAATCTGCTAAAACCACCTGTCCGTTATCCCTTTCACACAGATTCTGTATAGTTTAACTCCATTTAACTACATTTAATTCAGGAACCTCCCCGAGCCAAGGTGAGTCCCCTCTCTTGTGTGTTCTCTGCCAGGTTGAAAATTATCTAATCTGTCAAAATATTCATACCAAATCGAACAACCGGAACAGTTTTCTACTCAACTATTGACTGGAATATCCTGAATAGGAATGTGTCTAGTTGTTATGGAGATGTTGTCATACAAATAGTATTTGATATATAAATGGAACTGAAGCATTTGCAGCACTATTTAATGTTGCAATAAAATATTGATATTGATCACTTTTTTTTCATACCTTTCTACACTCTGAGTAATGGAACAGTATGAATTATATGAAGATTTTTTTATGGATGACTTCTTTATTATTATTTGTAAGGCTTAAAAAAATCAAAGAATTGGTTCTCAGGCAATGACTTTTGAAAATATAGAGCGGACGGGCGTCGGTCTTTTCTTTTTTGCTTTTTCAAACTAGTAGGATTTTCGTATAGTGGGAGTATTGCTGAGTGCAGCGTTAAACAACAAACAAAAAAAACAAACTAGTATGGAACCAAATATACAGTTGTGTACCATCAACCTGGGAAAGGGCCTCCGTACATAGACAAGCATACAAACTCCTATTGCCGCCATAGCCATAACACGAGATGTGCAGTAAAGCAGTGCGCATGTAAAGGGAAGTAACTGCATGCTATTGTGGATCGCATTGTTTTTAAGTATTAGGATTTAATTATATATTTTTTTAATGGAAATATAAACAAAACGTGTGGCAGACTTTATGATGGTGTGGGCGGTGCCTGAGAACAAAGACTACTTTTTTTAGCCTCACCCAAACATGCAGCTTATCAGGAGAGTGCCGCCTCCGTGGTCTTGTGGTAGAGCGTCCACCCGGAGAGCGGAAGGTCCGGGGTTCGATCCCCGGCTGCGTCATACCAAAAGACGTTAAAAGATGGTACTTGTTGTTACCCTGTCTGGCGCTCGACATTAAGGGGCTAAAACAAGGACTGGTCGGCTCGGAGTCAGTATACTGTGTCTGAGTGGGGTATTCATGTTAAACTGCGGCATGGTATCTCAGTGAGCTAGCACTATAAATCGGCATTAGTCCGGACTAGTACAAGCAGCCACAGACACACACGTGCATGCACGTCGCTATATAAGTGCAATAATCTTGGACGCGACGTTAAACCCAATTTCACCTCACCTCACCTTATCAGGAGACACTTGCCACTCCGCCAGGTGATTGGTTCAAGGCGCAAGTAGTTGGGAAATGTTACAAGCAATAATCAAGTTGTTATCCAAACAGTTTCATGTCTTCATCCCGTTCCAACTGCTAAATGCAAATCAAAGACTTAGTATGAACAACTCTCTACCCATAACAGTAATTGAGGAGTATATGTACATTTCATTTGGGCAAATAAAAGATCAATGTATGAAAAATTTACAATTTTGGGAAATGATGCAATGACAAAACATCATGATCATCAACATACCTGATTTGAACTCGTTAGGTCAAGTAGCAATCTTATTAAAATCAGATCTGAGTTCTCGCTGCCGCTAAACAAAGATCTGAGGACATCCCATTACGGGTCACGTCAGACCGACCTTTCATCCAACCAATCAAAGTGTCGCTTGCCAGATTATGAAAGTGACAGTCGGAATGTCTAGTATCATCCAGCAACCTGAAAACGTTAATACAGGGTATTCCGAATGATAGTTACGGCCCGCGCGACTGATCCATCAAAATTATTGTCTATCTCTCGCTTCCGTTGGATAAACATTTAAACGGAGGAGGCATTGCACAGTATGTTGGAAACACTGCCATACAGTCTCGACCATATATTAGACATTCCGGAATGTTTGTTTGTTCATTTTCAAAATTTTAATTGAGAACTGTGTCAACATATTTTTCAAGCGTTGTCTGAAATGGAAGTCGCCGGGTTGAAACGAGTGCCGTAAAGCTTGAGAAAGCTGCTTTCTAACTGGCTGATGTCGACTTCTTGTTCGTCATTTCAGTGGTCTGTCAAAGTTCGCGAAAGGTGGTTCTGACGTGACCCGTAAAGGGATGTCCTCAGATCTTTGTTTAGCGATAGCGAGAACTAAGATCTGATTTTAATGCGATTGGTCAAGTAGATTCTGAAAGTGACACAGCTGTGTATAGAAGTGCATGTGCCTTTGGTTGCAAGAGCGACAATAGCCATAGGTGGTGACGTGTCCTTCAGAGCTTAAGCTATGGTTTCATCAAATAAGCAACAATCCAATTATTAATTTCTTTAAATTTTCCATGGCAGCTTGGTAAAGTTGCTTGCATTATTAAAAGGTGTTAAAACATTAATTTATTCTTTAATTTCCTTTTAAGATATTCCATGAGAAAAAAAATGATTCTGACAGCCTTCATGACAGAAAATTATTAATTAAAAATTAGATAAGGAAATATCTATAAATTGAAATCAAATTGTGAAAGCTTTTTATTTATATATTTAGTATCATTTGGATTGTGAAAGTTTGCGATCTGTTGATATTTTCATATTTGGGGGTCAATGAATTGTTTTGACAGATTAGAAAATTTCGTGTAAGATGGCCTTATTCTGAAGGTGTAATGCATGATTCACATGGTGTTCCTGTCTGAACAGTTCTGCCAGTCGGTTTTGAAGAGTATTGTGCTGATGCATGGCATTAATAAATGTTGTTCACAATTTTGTTTCATGCCACAACGTTTTATATTGCACTTTTGATATTTCTCATAAAAACTGCTAATGAATATTGAATATTGTAAAAGTATGAAAATGTTTAATTTTTCTTATTCAATACAGATGTTATCAAAGTATTTAGTCCTCTTGTTTCCTTATGGGTCCTGAGACTCTTCCTAGATAAGATTTGATTGCATATTGCTTAACTGATAGCACTCTGAATTGCACAAATTAGATGTGCTCAAAGGCACTGAATAAATGCTTGTATCTCTCACATTGTATCTGATAAAACAACCAATCATAAAGAAAAGGATCACATTGTTATAAAAACCAAGAGGAGTAGGAAAACAACAACATTGAAAGTGACAAGCTCCTCACAGCGATAGCCCGTTCGCGGAGCTCTCTCTATACTATCGCTGCCACCAGTCAAAACTCCCCACTGTGATAGGTGGCCACAACCATGCTTGGAGTTGAACTCGCAACCGAATGACTGTTATGTTTACAAACAAGTGACGACTTGCGTGATGCCGAATACACTTGCACTGCCAAATTACTTTCTTTGTTTGTCAATTTGAATTTCTATTTCATTAAAACTATCCTGTAATTCATATAGTAAGAATGTAACGAAGAAGTTGGTTGATTTTCCGTTAGTCTGCAATCTCGAGCCAATCTGATGATTTAAACTCATCTGGAAAACATGGTCAGTCATAAACCTTTTCAAAATGAAATATGATGGCATTCCCAAAGACATAAAGAAAAGTATAAACGTTACTACATTTGTGGTTAGAGGGCAAATTTCAAGATTCTTGTAATGGCCATGCCCACACTGGTGGCAGCGATGTTACCGAGAGTGTAACAAAGGTGTCACACGCTGGGAAGGAGCTTGTGAAAGTGATGGATAAGGGAGGTAGCCCTATTCTTGCCATGGTGTCGTTTAGAGTTATTTCCCTTTGTCTCCTTTACACTTTAACTTGTCTTACTGCAATCAGACATCAGTAAGATTTCTGAACATACTATTTTTACTCGGAAATATTGCTTTTAATAATCTCTCTGACATATAGTTAGTAATGATCTGTCTGAAATATTGATAATAATAAACACAATATACAAATGAGATCGGATACAATCCATACATAAAGTTGATTATCGAGAGATCCAGGTTTTGTTAATTGAGTATCATCCCTGCACTCAATTTGTCACCCCATCAAGGCACCATTTAGATTTTATTGCAAACCTCTTTACCAAATTTTAAAATGTTGTGTGTGCACAAATTTGAAATTGGCAGACAAATATGCTTTAAAAGTTTTCAAACATCTCCTGAAGACTATTTTTATGTTGTTTGTGTCTTTGGCTTCATATATGTAGTTAGTCATACTCTAAACTGTTTGTAGTTAAGTTGAATCAATATGAATGATAAACATATTAAAATATTTGCCCAGTTAATATCTTTAATATAAAGTGTTGGTATTCAGAATGATAACCACATGAGAAGTAGTTCATCAGCCCCCCTAGTGTGATATATGTCTTTATGTTAATCGGGGCGGTCGGGTAGCCTAGCAGTTAAAGCGCTCGCTCTCACGCCGAAGACCCAGGTTCGATTCCCGACATGGGTACAATGTGTGAAGCCCATTTCTGGTGTCCCCCGCCGTGATATTGCTGAAATATTGCTAAAAGCGGCGTAAAACCTCACTCACTCACTTTATGTTAATCAAGGGTCCTGATGGGGGGGTTCACATGTCGGTAGTCAGTAACATTTGGGGACTTTAGTCAGGAGTCAAATTACTAAACATTTACTAGTTTTGTTGTGTCGTTAGATCCAGTTGTTGCATGACTTCTACCAGATTTTGGCACACTTACGAAAAACTGTAAAGTTTAAATATACAGTTGTCTTTCGACAATTTACATTAATGTTTTACAATACAAATTTGACTCATCTTATGTTTTCGATAGGTTTCTTATTTGTTTTATGCCAAACAGTATACTGCTGAGGACCCTCTTTTTCCTGGCATTGTACCTCCCTCACTTACCGTAAATGACCGCGTATAAGCCGAATTTTGAGGACCAGAAAAAAGATTCTGTAGAAGGGGGTCGGCTTATCCACGGGATCCACTTTCATGATAGTATTTTTCAGATCGTGATCTGTCAGAAACATCGCCTGAATGACGATGTATGTTGAATAATCACAAATAGACAATGACTGATCCAGATATCAAATGCTTAGTGTTTAGCTTGACACTGACTCTTGGATAGAATGGAAACAGGTCTTGTTCCTTATATAAATTCTAAAAATAATATTAAAAAAATCTGAGATATATTTTGTCCCTCTTCTCTGGTGTGTTCCTAATGCATAAATACCTCCTGAAAACAACCTTTTTTTAACTAATGTTTCAGACAAAACTGATCTTTTGTATAATACATTTTGTTAGTTTGTTATATAAGACATTCTTTACATCTTATTATTCTATAGCAGCGGCTCCAGATGAAAGTTAAAGGAGTGGTATGAATGATGAAATAAGGTTTTCTTGGTTGTTTTGCTGTGTAATGTTTGGAATCCCACACATTTCTAACACTGGTTTGTGAAACGTTGTCGTAGATACTGCTTCCACCGCTAAGATGGTGACTTGCTTGTTTCATGGGTTATATCCAGGCTAGCTTCGTCCTGTACTAATATGCATATTGCAGCCGTGGCGACCACACTGCTTCCATAGATGTCGGAAACATACCTTACAAAGAGGCCAAGGATGGATTCAACAAACGCAAACTTGCACTGTTTTTTATATTAAAAAACACACCTCTTTAAGTTCCCTTTCACAAAGATAAGCTTCTTTTCACTGATGTCTTATCAAATTGAGGGGCATGATTATAATATTAATATAATAATAATAATAATATTTACAATTCTTATGAATAGGCAACCTCTATTACATCACAGCCATAATTCCTGCAGTTTGTCTGTCATCTCACAGATTAATATTCTCAGACTGAAGGGAATAACTATAATATTTATATTTCTGGTTACTGCAAGTATTGAAACTACTGAATCCAACTCTATTTTGTAACATTGTCTTTGGAGATTGACAATACATTATGTGGTTCATGTTCAAACAAAATGTATACTTTTATTTCTCATGGATGTCTGCTGGTACTAGAACTGTTGTGTACTGGGTGCTTACAACATATCTAAAGTCACTCTATGACAGACATGAAATGGTGCAACTGATTATTATATACAAGAAAGATGAATCATCGAAGACATTCATAATATAACAAACCACAGGTAGGGTATTGGTTGGGCCAGGCATTTTATATTTTTCTGATTACGGACCCACCGACTCTAATGTTTGAGAAAATTAATTTTTTTTATCAGATTTCCATATTTTTCCCCCCCACCAATACCCACATAGTCAGTTATTTTATTTGTTATCATCACCTTTTAGTAAAAAACATATGAATTTACCATTGTAAACTAGTAAAGAGATACATAATTGATCTTTGTTGATCTCGAAGCCGAACATGAATAGCCCCCCTTGATAATTGTCTGTGTCGTAAGTATTTTTAGAATTTTTATTGTTATAAGGGGCTTTATCGTCACAAATGGCGGTCATTTGAGCGCAGAATATGTTCATAAAGTATGCCAGAGGCATTCTGCATTAAAAAAAAATGCATCTGGCTTTTTTTTTCTTTATTTTTCCTTCTCCAACCCGGGACTTTGCCCTCTTCTTGTTTCATTTTGAAAGTTAGATGAAATCATTGAGCGTTACAAAGTTCTTGACTTTGGAAAAGTTAAATACTCTGAATACAAACCAGCAGACATCCTTGCCTAATAATTTCTGTTTCAGTTCTAGAAAGTACAGTAAACTACGTTTATAATGAACACGCTTATGACGAACTGATGGATGTATACATTCTTGGTCCCTGCCATTTGTTGTATCTACATGTATGCTTATGACAAACTACGGTTATAACAAACTAAAATTAGTGGTCCCTTTTAGTTCATTATAACCGTAGTTTACTGAACTAATTACATTGTTGAAATATATGCTGTTGGTTTTTTAATAGGTAGGTTTGAGTTGGAAGTTTCCTTTTTTAAAGACATGGTGTGGATGTTTCAGGGCACGATGAAGGAGCTCAACCTCGGCCGACCTCTCTACATTGGGGGTTACAAGGGGGAGTCTTCCCTCCCTGCTGGTGCTGAGATCTCCGCCAACTTCTCCGGGGCAATACAGAGGGTAAGTGATGGAGAGGTGGGATATGTTACGGCAATAACATGGACTCGTCAGACCAGTGGTTAAGAGGATGAATGAGTTGATAAATAAAGTGGAAGGAGGATATAGAAAATGGTGCTGTCCATCTCCCTGTCACGTTTTGTTTCCGAAGCAGAACTAAAAGACAACGAGAGAGATCTTAACCAAAATTGGCACATAGATAGGATTAGTGGTGAACTGGTGCCTTTTTATAGTTTGGGATTTTTTTAAAAAGTATTTTCAAGTTTCCATGGCAACAACTTTGACATAGACTGAAAATGGCGGTAGTGCTCCTTTCCGGAACAGATCTTGAATACTATACAATATTTCATCGTCAAACTTGGCACATAGATAGGTCTAGTGGTAAACTGGTGCCTTTTAATAGTTTGGGATTTAAAAAAAATAAAAATTTCAAGTTTCCATTGTAACGTCCAAAAAGGTCCAGTGAACACAAACGTCATATTGGGGATATGAGTATTTAAGGTTTGTTTAACTGTAAGTAATTGACTTTACAAGCATTCCGCCCTAGAATCCCACAGGGTGTGTCAGGTCAGCTCGACAGCGTTATGGCCCTTGGTATATGTTTGCTACTCCTTCAGATAACTATCAACGGCAAGACCATCGACAGCCTGATGGAGTCTGCGGAGGAGATGAGGAACATTGAGGAGTATGCAGGCGCCCCATGCAACATGAACCCTTGCATGAACGGCGGGGTGTGTATCCCCAAGCTGAATGATGCTGACTGCAGGTGCCCCCTGGAGTTCATGGGGGAGAGGTGTGAGAAGAGTAAGTGTTGATCAATACACTAGTCCTAGCTGCATATCTCTAATCAATTATTGTTTAAAAATTTATTTTTTTATATATGTTGATGTAAATCCTAAATCGGCCTTGGGGCTGTGTTAGGGCTGAACATATTGTGGTACGATGAACATTGTGTTTTATAGGCTGAACATATTGTAGTACAATGAACACTGTGTTTTGTAGGCTGAACAGATTCTGCTGTAATGAACGCCTTGTTTTGTAGGCTGAACAGATTGTGCTGTAATGAATGCCTTGTTTTGTAGGCTGAACAGATTGTGCTGTAATGAACGCCTTGTTTTGTAGGCTGAACAGATTGTGCTATAATGAACGCCTTGTTTTGTAGGCTGAACAGATTGTGCTATAATGAACGCCTTGTTTTGTAGGCTGAACAGATTGTGCTGTAATGAACGCCTTGTTTTGTAGGCTGAACAGATTGTGCTATAATGAACGCCTTGTTTTGTAGGCTGGACAGATTGTGCTATAATGAACGCCTTGTTTTGTAGGAGCTGAACATGTTGACAAGGACCAGCCTGTCAAGTTTGATGGCAATACATACCTGCAGTATCAAAATGAGAAAACACAAAAGTAAGTATGTTTTGGATAATGTAATAATGTAGAACACAGAGGGACACTTTCTGACCTGGAATCCCATGGGCAGACACTGGGGACACTTTCTGACCTGGACCCACTTGCACAAAGCGATCTTAGCGCTAAGACTATCGTAAGTCTATGTTAAAGTATGGGAGTTACGATCATCTTAGCGCTAAGAACGCTTTGTGCAAGTGGGCCCTGGAATCCCATGGGCAGACACTAGGGACACTTTCTGACCTGGAATCCCATGGGCAGACACTAGGGACACTTTCTGACCTACAATCCCATAGGCAGACATTAGGGACACCTTCTGACCTAGAATCCCATAGGCAGACACTATAGGGACACTTTCTGACCTGGAATCCCATGGGCGGACACTAGGGACACTCTCTGACCTAGAATCCCAAAGGCAGACACTAGGGACACTTTCTGACCTGGAATCCCATGGGCAGACACTAGGGACACTTTCTGACCTGGAATCCAATTGACAGACACTAGGGACACTTTCTGACCTGGAATCCCATGGGCAGACACTAGGGACACTTTCTGACCTGGAATCCCATGGGCAGACACTAGGGACACTTTCTGACCTGGAATCCCATGGGCAGACACTAGGGACACTTTCTGACCTGGAATCCCATGGGCAGACACTAGGGACACTTTCTGACCTGGAATCCCATAGACAGACACTGGGGACACTTTCTGACCCTGAATTCCATGGGCAGACACTGGGGACACTTTCTGACCTGGAATCCAATGGGCAGACACTGGGGACACTTTCTGACCTGGAATCCAATGGGCAGACACTAGGGACACTTTCTTACCATGAATTCCATCGGCGGACACTCGGGACATCAATATTTTCATGCTGATGTGAATTGCCATGGTAACTCCTGTCATTGACATGTTTCAGATCTCAAGCACAGAGAAACAACAACATCAAAATAAAGTTCCGGACAAAGGAGCGGAACGGTTTGATTGCCTTCCAGAACAAGGGGACCAGTGTCATGGGAGACTATCTCGCTGTGGCCGTTGTCAATGAACATGTCGAGTTCAGTTTTAACCTTGGAAAACAGAGCGAGAAAAATCTGTTTAAGATCCGATCTACAGTGGCTGTCAGTGATGGAAAGTGGCATATGCTTACGGCCATAAGGTAATGCTTTGTTTAAAATGAGGCAAGCCTTGGCTCTTTGGCTTACCGTATTAGACGTAATAAACTCCCCGCTCTAATAAGTGCCACGGCGATATTTGCTGATATATTGGCGAGTGAACAATCCCAATTGGCACCCTTCCAATTGATCAATGTACACAAGACTTATTTATTCATGTATAATACACACTCAAGTGTTATATGCACCCTTAATTACGGACAATTAAATTCTGGAAAAATATATCTGTCATGTATAATATGCACAGACTTTTCTTTTGTATCATTTCAGGCGGTAAGCATAAACCACGAAATTTACTCTTTCAACTCTTTCACCAAAATTATATTCTATTAAAGAGCCCCCTATTTCTAATTTTGAGAACGCCCTGGGCGCTTATTATGTTGAATACGGTATACTTTTTAGTAGAATACAGGAAGAAATATTTAACATATACACAACAAACTGGGATCTTATTAATCAATAGCACGTGTGTAGTCAGTTTAATTCATTCTTCACAAAGTTTTTGGAATGTGTGCATGATGCACTGCTGATTTACATTCCAGAGAGCTGTCTGAAGGTCGTTTGCAGGTGGATGACGAGACAATGATGTCGTCCATGTCTGGTGCTGGAGCTTCACAACTGGACACTGATGGAAATCTGTGGATAGGTAGGTCTTCATCACAGTCTGTGGATTGGTAGGTCTTCATCACAGTCTGTGGATAGGTAGGTCTTCATCACAGTCTGTGGATTGGTAGGTCTTCATCACCATCTGTGGATAGGTAGGTCTTCATCACAGTCTGTGGATAGGTAGGTCTTCATCACAGTCTGTGGATAGGTAGGTCTTCATCACAGTCTGTGGATAGGTAGGTCTTCATCACCATCTGTGGATAGGTAGGTCTTCATCACAGTCTGTGGATAGGTAGATCTTCATCACAGTCTGCGGATAGGTAGGTCTTCATCACCATCTGTGGATTGGTAGGTCTTCATCACCATCTGTGGATAGGTAGGTCTTCATCACAGTCTGTGGATAGGTAGGTCTTCATCACAGTCTGTGGATAGGTAGGTCTTCATCACAGTCTGTGGATAGGTAGGTCTTCATCACCATCTGTGGATAGGTAGGTCTTCATCACAGTCTGTGGATAGGTAGGTCTTCATCACAGTCTGTGGATAGGTAGGTCTTCATCACAGTCTGCGGATAGGTAGATCTTCATCACAGTCTGTGGATAGGTAGGTCTTCATCACAGTCTGTGGATAGGAAGGTCTTCATCACAGTCTGCGGATAGGTAGGTCTTCATCACAGTCTGTGGATAGGAAGGTCTTCATCACAGTCTGTGGATAGGAAGGTCTTCATCACAGTCTGTGGATAGGTAGGTCTTCATCACAGTCTGTGGATAGGTAGGTCTTCATCACCATCTGTGGATTGGTAGATCTTCATCACAGTCTGTGGATCTTCTTCGTCAAACTGTTTATTTTGTCTTGTATTGTATACTTGTATTTCAAACATGAGCTATTTACATTTTATTTATCAACTTATTGTATTTGTTTCTGGAGCCATGGTGTGCAGGTCATGTAAGATGCTCAGTTAGCTGTGCAGAGTTGCATCCCTTTTTCATGCCAGGAATCACTGGTCATGGGTTCTAGTCCAAGGTTCAAGTTGATTTTGACTCTCAGATACTGTACCATAGCCATGCTCGTGTGTGTGTTTGTTTGTTTATTGTTTAACGCCATACTCAGCAATATTCCAGCTATATGACGACGGTCTGTAAATAATCGAATCTGGACCAGACAATCCAGTGATTGACATCAAGAGCATCGATCTATGCAACTGGGATAAGATGACATACAATCAAGTCAGCATGACTCACCACCGGATCCCGTTAGTTGCCTCTAACGACAAGCTTAGCTGCCTTTTCCGGCAAGTGTGGGTTGCTGAAGACCTATTCTAACTCGGATCTTCACAGGTCACTTGTGTGTTCACCAAAGTGGTAAACACCTAAGACCTGAGATGCTCTAGGCTTTCCTCCAACATTGGGCTGACAAGCCATGACATATACTGAAACACTGTTCAAAGCATTGTTAAACCCTACTCACTCTTTCACTCACTCTATTTCAGGAGGTAAGCCCGACCTGCCATGGGGACTGCCACCCGAGTACTATTCTGGATTCACTGGCTGCATCGATGAGGTTATAATAAATCGGGTTGGCCTTCACCTTGTGGAAGACCGTGAGAGCCACAGCAGTACAATTGCTTTTTGCTCATAACTAAACGACATGGTAGTCATAATGTCATAATAGGACAGCCTCACTTCTGGCGATGCCCTTTCCCACCGTTGAATATTTCGCGATCCCCATCCTTCAAAGTTCAGGCCTGTTCTTTGATGTGAACGCACTAGTACGTAAGGGCAAATATCTGTGGGAGCAGAGGAATGGAGAGAACTCTGCATCAAGATTTGTTATGCGGTGACCTGCAGCATATCACAACCCCCAAAATATGTGACCTTAACCTTCAGTTTGACATGACCTCTGGGTCACGACCTTGACCTTAACATGGTGTCGTATACTGAGAATTATTCATTTGTGATTGTGAACACTTTCCTACAACAAACATTGATGCACAACCCTGTGAGCTATGTTTAATAGATGCACAGGACAAATTATTGTGCCTTTCTTTCGGATTACCATGAGTGGAACATTTCAAACCATGTCCATGGAACGTGGAATAATTTGACATTTGATTTTCAAGTGTGCTCTGATGAGAAGATTGAAGACATTCAGAGTTGATCAGGAATCTTTTTTCAAAATACCAAATTTGTGTATACCAATATCCATCAATTGAACATTTTGAATCCTATGAATATTTTGTGAAAAAAAATTCAAAGTATGAATATAAATTCATTTAACAGTTTCTTATATCAGAGTATAAACCCTATACTATTATCACTATAAAATATATAACATAAGTTAATATGAGCTTATTCTTGTTACAATCTACTTAATACTTCACCATACTATTCAAGAAAACTTATTATGATACTCAGGAGAAAAGTAACATTGACCCAAAATTACACAATGACATTAGTTTTGAGGAAACATCATATTTGGTATTAAAATTAACCATGGTTCCTTTCTCTTGAATGGATGGGATAAATGGGTGGTCAAATCAGGTGTGTATAGAGAGAGGGATAATGGATTTGGGAAAGAATGCTAATCTTTGCATGATTGAGGCTTGATTAGTAAGTAATCAATTTGTGATAATCATGGTCAGACAGACACTTTGGAGGTTCAACATTGGTAATAAGATCTGAAGATCAAGGAGATTGAAAACTAGATTTAATGATATTCTTGTGTGCCCCCAGCAATCTATGAATTTGCATTTTAATTGTATATATTGTGTTGTGTTGTATTGCATACATCATCAGTAAGCAAGACTGTTTTCCTAACTACTGATGATATCAAGGCCAAGAAAAGATATGTAAATCTGAACCAGTTCTAGGAAAGTAGTTTTAGAGTTACTTATCAGTTGTATAAACTGAAACATTCCAAAGCAAATATTTTAGAAATTGTAAATATGTTATTCTTTGTTCTTTTCTTGGCCTATATTCACAAATATGTGTGGTTATAATATTGTGAAATATGTCCCACTGTAGTAGCTGTTTTCGTTAATTACGAACTGAGGGTCGGTATTGGGTACTGATGATCGCGACAAGCATTATGTCAGTTAGTGCTTCGTCATTAAACAGTAACAAGCACACGTTGAGTCATTATGTACATGCACCAATGACAGGAAATTTATCATTACATCAATCCAGAATAAACAGTGGTTTAGAATGAGATAGGTCAACACATTGTTGAGTTGGTTTAGTTTTCTGTTAGTCAGGACCTACGTTTGGAACCCTCGTAATCTTGACATGTTGATTTGTGGTGAGGACAGTTGATGTATTGTTGAGACTGTACCATCAGCTTGAAATGTGATATATTGCACATCTTACACATGTACATTACATTGTATATTGCATAGATTCACCTATGATGTTGTGAAACCCCATACCACATTTAATGATGAATCATTTCATGCTATGGTCTGACTATAACTGATTATTCCGGTCGTTGACCTTAGGACATTTAGAAGTTGAATACCAAAAACACGAACCATCTAATCAATTTTTGAAAAAATGGGTATTCTTTGATATCAGTAAAATGCATCAAAATTAACTTTGATGAATTTGTGAACATCAGTTTGTTATATTCATCTAATTCATACCTATATATATTTTTGTATTTATAAAGCATTGCTGTAAGTGTTTGGATGGTTGTAGCCACACTTCTAGATCTTGCGATAGTGTTCGTAGCTTCAGTTTTCACAAGTGATGCTAGTGAGATTAAATTTTTGCTGATGTAGCATGGTGTGTGGGGTGGAGTCACCCCACGGATGACATCCTTACCTTGTCAGCTTGCTGACAGGGTACGCTTTTGGTCATGTGGAGAAGGCGTCCGACCTTGGATCAGGTCTGTGGTTTGAAACCCATCACGGGACTCGAATATGTTGTGGCCGCTACGCTAATAACATACATGGAGTCAACAGGCATTATATAATAGAACATAGGATGATTTCTCACACCATGCATAATGTTTGTAGATAACTAAAGTCCATGGTTACACTTGCTACTGGTAAAGCTTTAACTAATCTTAAAGGAGGACGGCAGATTGGCAGACCCATATAGTTTCATTCAATCCATTTTACCGTATTCGACGTAATAAGCGCCCACGGCGATATTTATTAATATATTGGCTTGTGAACAATTCCAATTAGCACCCCTTCCGATTGATCAATGTACACAAGACTTATTTATTCATGTATAATACGCACTCGTGTGTTATATGCATCCTTAATTATGGGCAATTAAATACTGGAAAAATATATCTGTCGTATATAAACGTTTCAGGCTGTCAGCATAAACCATGAAATTTATCTTTCAACTCTGTTTTTTTTCACCAAAATACCATTCTAATAAGAGCCCCCTATTTTTAATTTTGTGAGCGTCCTGGGCGCTTGTTACGTCAAATACGGTATTTGTCTGCTGGGGCTGGTGGGGTAGCCCAGTGGTTAAAGCATTCACCCTTCACACAGATAGCCCAGGTTTGATTCCCAATATGGGTACAATGTATGAGGCCTACTTCAAGTGTCCCTGCTGTGAGATTGCTGTAATGTGGATTCACATAGCAGAACACTGTACTGACTTTTACTTACTTATTTTTCATCTAACTTCATTTTCCGATATATACAGCTAGCAGTTCCACACATAGCTCTGATAACAATTGTTTAGGCCTTTGCTGGAAACTAGTACCAGACCATGGAGCATGCACAGTTCCACTAAACATACTGATTCTAAAGTAATTTCTTTTTTTAACGACTGCAATTTCAGCCAGATTAAACATTGTTCGATAGGCATTTCTTAGAAGTAGGTGAATGACAAAGTAGACACAATGTATGGATAACAACCTCATATTTCCGTAATGGTGACGTTTCGGTATAGATACTTCTATCCTTGTCAGGGAAGGACAATGCTATAAGGGTCTACAAAACATCACAGTAAAATAAAACAAAACATTACAGTAAAATAAAGAAGTTGTTATCCATAATTTGTGTCTACTTTATTAGTGTAAGACACTTACCTTTGATAAGGAGCGACATATGAACTTGGGAATGATTTGGGGAAAGTCAGTGGATCAAAGATGCCTGATATTTCGATAGACAGCGATATCGATTTATATACTACTGGAGACACAACTGCCTCTAGCATTCAAATGTCAATCAAACTGAAGATATCTTTGCTGTAGGGATACAGGACTCTTTCTAATTCACATACAGTACTGTGACAGTATTGTGACAGTACTGTGATAGTACTGTTGCCTTGTTTTTCAGGGTGAGTATTACAGGATCTCGTGTGTTCACCATGCGGTATGAAGTCAGACACATGTCATTGTTATATGAGCGGAAGAGAAGCTTTCTACAGGGGACAACAGATTACTTATCTATTGTTATGAAACTGTTCTGAAAAATTTGAAGGAATTCTATTTTTATGAAATGAGAATTTGTGGCAACTTGCCATACTGGTGTATGCTGTAAATTTGTCAGTTTAGTTTACAGATCTTAACAGTTTTACCTCAACATGGATGGTAGTTCCTGTTCCCTGGGCCCCGTTCCACAAAGCGATCTTAGCGCTAAGATGATCGAAACTCCCATACTTTAACACAGGCTTACGACAGTCGTAACACTAAGATCGCTTTGTGGAACGGTCCCCTGATGTTCTAGCTGTCTCTGCCTGTGTGTACAGTCAAAGAAGGATGTGTTTACATACTGGAGTTTGGCATCATAAACATGTTTCATTCTGTTATACTCCTTGTCAATTGTAACATTGTTGCTACACTTCAAGCTTAAATATTAAACATTCACTGTCTATCCCTGACAAGTGTGGACAAAGGGTCATGTTAAAAAAGTTTGACCGCATGTTGAATATTGTAGAGTTGTGGAATAATAATTTCAGCTGGTCACTCTTAATGCACCAGTGTCAACCATTTGTGTTTTTAATAAATATCCGTCAACATCATGTTCAGATAAGCCCTGTTCTCTATCAACAACACCGTGTAAGCATCTGGGAGTGTTTTGAAGCACTAAGTCCTTTTTATACAGTTTTGAACACGTAACTGACCGAGCAATACGAATTTATGTTCCCAGTTGAAGTAACACACTTGTGTACTAACTTAGTTTGAAGAGTTTGATATTGTCCTTTTGAGTCAGTTAAAGGCATTAAGGCAATAACATGTTAACATCTTACAGTAACTTAGTGAAGCCCCCATGCAGTAGCTAGTTCATGTTCCCCAGTGTAATGACAGCACAGAGGGCGGAATGAAACATGGTGGCAGCATATTGTGATACAGAACCACTTGGACAATGCTGTGATTTGCTGGAGTTCAGTGCTGGAAGGGTAGCCCAGTGGTTTGAGTGGTCGCCTGTCACACCATAGACCAGGGTTTGATTCCCATCTGTAGTTAATGCATGAAGCCATAATTGGTGTCTCACACTGTGATATGCCTGGAATATCGTTCACATAAAACAAAATTCACACTCAGATGAAGCCTGAGCCCAAAATGTCTTGGTTTGTCTTGAAAAAATATCAGATTTTACTGATAAATTCAGATTTGATGTGTAGCGAAATGTGTGGTATCACTGCCTCCATTACATCCCGATTTATTGTGATATGGTTGGTATCACTGCCTCCATTACATCCCGAATTATTGCGATATGGTTGGTATCACTGCCTCCATTACATCCCGAGTTATTGTGATATGGTTGGTATCACTGCCTCCATTACATCTCGAATTATTGCGATATGGTTGGTATCACTGCCTCCATTACATCCCGAGTTATTGTGATATGGTTGGTATCACTGCCTCCATTACATCCCGATTTATTGTGATATGGTTGGTATCACTGCCTCCATTACATCCCGAATTATTGCGATATGGTTGGTATCACTGCCTCCATTACATCCCGATTTATTGTGATATGGTTGGTATCACTGCCTCCATTACATCCCGAATTATTGCGATATGGTTGGTATCACTGCCTCCATTACATCCCGATTTATTGTGATATGGTTGGTATCACTGCCTCCATTACATCTCGAATTATTGCGATATGGTTGGTATCACTGCCTCCATTACATCCCGAGTTATTGTGATATGGTTGGTATCACTGCCTCCATTACATCCCGATTTATTGTGATATGGTTGGTATCACTGCCTCCATTACATCTCGAATTATTGCGATATGGTTGGTATCACTGCCTCCATTACATCCCGAGTTATTGTGATATGGTTGGTATCACTGCCTCCATTACATCCCGATTTATTGCGATATGGTTGGTATCACTGCCTCCATTACATCCCGATTTATTGCGATATGGTTGGTATCACTGCCAACATTACATCCCGATTTATTGCGATATGGTTGGTATCACTGCCAACATTATATCCCGATTTATTGCGATATGGTCGGTATCACTGCCTCCATTACATACCCAATTTATTGTGATATGGTTGGTATTTCTGCCAACATTACATCCCGATTTATTGCGATATGGTTGGTATCACTGCCTCCATTACATACCCAGTTTATTGTGATATGGTTGGTATTTCTGCCTCCATTACATCCCGATTTATTGCTGTTTCTGCTACGTGATACCTAGTTTGATGACTCACTCGCATTTAGCTTACTGTCTATATATGTTATGTACAGACTTTTGTTGATATATCGGCTAATTAATTGACATTCACTGTGTATCGGAATGTGTATACAATATGATGAATAAATTTCATAGAAAACAAAATAGTGTCTCAGTCTTTTCCTTGGGTGGTAGCCTTGTGGTTCATGTGTTGGCTCATCACGCTGAACATCTGGGTTCAGTTCCCACATGGGTGCAGTGGTAAAACCATTTGCTCAGTTTAGGAGATACTTTAAGTGTTTTCAAAATTTGTCAGTTTTTTTTAGTATTCCATGCCAAGAAATGCAAAGCTTTCTGGCCATCTTTAAGGCCTGCAAATCAAAACACATAAGGTTATTGACATTGTAAAATACAATTTGTTTGTTTGTTGTTAAACGCTGCACTCAGCAATATTCCAGCTATATGACGGTGGTCTGTGAATGATCGAGTCAGGACCAGACAGTCCAGTGATTGACATCATCCTCATGATAGGGATACGATATATGCATCAATCAAGTCAGCGACAAGCATCTTGTTTGTTTGTTTGTTTGTTGTTTAACGCAATATTCCAGCTATATGATGGCAGTCTGTAAATATCAAGTCTGGACCAGACAATCAGACACTCAGACTTACGATGACGTGGCCTCCTGCTGGCTGGAGACGATGTGTACAGTGAAACACGAACATTGGTAAAAATTCAGCATCCCTTGTATCCTAATTAAAATAGGTAAATGAACACATTTCTGTGCAGGATTGCTATATTTAAGTAGACATAGGTCAGAAGGTCTTCTGTGTCAAACAGTTTTATTTACTGATAAACAGGAAATGTGTTAACTTTGCAGAAGTAGGTTCATCATCTTCTTTTCCCATATTAGTTGTCAGTACATCTTTAAGAAAGAAAATCTCTTGCCTCGTGTTACTTTAAATAAGAGAACAGTTACTGCATACTCTTCCAAATATGTGGCATCATTTTAATTGTTTAAATAAATGTCTAATTAATGCCGTATAGGTCATAGTTGCAAATAAACACCCATCTCTCCGTCCATGACGATCGTAAATCTCCAAGGATGGGTGAAATAAAAAATAATACCGGTCTTCAGAACGGGTTATATATTTTCTGCCATTTATATAGGTTTTGTAAGATAAGTGTCATTAAATCCCCCAAATGGTTAGGATATTTGTTGTTTCATGACTAAAATAAAACCTAAACGCAAGAGTGAGTGAGTATGGTTTTACGCCGCTTTTAGCAATATTCCAGCAATATCACGGCGGGGGACACCAGAAATGGGCTTCACACATTGTACCCATGTCGGGAATCGAACCCGGGTCTTCGGCGTTACGAGCGAACGCTTTAACCACTAGGCTACCCGACCGCCCCCTAAACGCAAGAGAAAAAACGGTCTCAAACAATCAGGTGATTTGTCAGAAATCCAGGCCGGTATAGCAACAAAACTACTTTTCTTGTACATGAAGTTATGGAGAGTTAGTCACAACTGC